AGAAATACGTAGTCAGGTTCACACTAGAACTTTTTGCTAAACGTAAGTCAATTAAAAATCTACATCACTAAAAAATATAGTGAAACGAATCGAAACACACACTGCTCCTGAATAAGAGTCTTAAAGTACAAAATCTTTTATTTCTTTTACAGGTCCTCTTTCCCCGTTTATATAAAGCGTGTTGTTAAATAAAAATGTCTTATTTATTGGAACTTAATTTACTAGGCTCTTCAACTTCTTAATAATATTATTATAAATACACAATACTAATGCTTACTGTAGGTTTACTTATTTGCTAACTAACACTTAACAATTTGACAGTTTTTTACAGAGAAATTCGAATCAGAAAACCTATTTACACTTTCCCTACCTAAATATCAACCAAACACAAATACAGATTATCCACGAATTTTTGTTTCAAACGAATATAGTTCAAATTTGAATTTTTCTAACAATATTTTTGGTACTGAAGTGCTATTTAAAACTAAGCGGGTTCGAGTAACGTGAAAAATTCAGTCGTACTTCAGTGGATTAAGTAAATGGTTCGAGAGATGCACGGCTATGTGGAAAACCTCTGTAGTAGCTACTGTTCTAGCAAATTCACGTGTGCAATATGCAAACGAATATATTTGGAGTGTGTTTTTGAATGTTCATGACGATATGTGGTTGAGGATTATAATAGGTATAGTGTTTTTTGTGTGACTTTAGGATGAAAAAAGTATGTAATATACTGAATTAGTTCTTTTTTTCCAAGCTTTCAAACCGACAGATTATCTGACAGTTAGCAAGCGGCTCGACTGTTGGTGTTCATATTCCAGGGTAATTAATAGAGGCCAGAGTAGTGCGTGCGTTTTGGGGATTAAGCGTTTGGAGATCTAGAGATCTCCAGTTCTCACCCTCTCTACATTTAGATTTTTTAAATACCTAACAACCATCAAAACATCGGCAATATACTTTTTCTCCTTAGACGTTGCGGTTTGGACACCCGCGTGTGGCACAGATAGCTTAGGTAAGCACGTTTGTCTATCTATTCATTATTTCATTCAAATCTATAATACTTATATCTCATCTCAATAATCTTTTAATCCCCGGTACATTTTAAGCCAACCAATACACGGAACACCTATCAATAAAATTTAGTGTAAAATGTTTTTAAAGTAAAAAAAAACGTTTTTGTCCGTAATCTAAATTTGGGAATGACACAATACGATGTATAAATCTGTGGTTCGTAAACCTGACCACAATGAGGATTGCCGCACATTACACTTCATTCCATTCGCTTCTACAATGTTGTAAAAAAATGCTTTTACATTCAAATACTCTCTTTACTGGTGTTTGTATAACATCTATGTATGTATCCAATAAATTTGTATAATTATCATAACGTGGTGGTCCAGAGGTGGCGAAGGCGCCCGTTTTTCATACTTAGGGAGTTGGATTGCGTTGAGTGTGAGTTCAAAACCTGTACCATTGTGACTTTTTTCAAGTTATACGCACTTTACGATTTTTAATCATACATTTTAAATCGCCAATCCCCCTTGAGCAAGCGTGGCAATAGATTCTCAAGCCTTGTCCGTATGAGAGTCTTTAGTAGAGAGTCTTTGGTCATTTTAAAGCAATAAGCACTTTTTTAAGATTGATATTAAACTTACAGTACATATAACTTAAGCCTGATCTTGGAGTTTAGCAATTACTATTACACCTAAAACCTAAACCTAATCTTCAAAAAAATATTAGTTAGCTCCTAATTATGTGTACGTTTTTGAAAGAGCACAAGTACGTTCCTCAAGTCCTCTTTGTGAACATTATATAGTAATTTTATTTGCTCTAAAACTTATTGGAGTATACTTTAGTTATTTATAAAGGGCATTCCAGTAGAAGACTTCCGACACGGGTCACTTAGTAAATACACTTTTTTCTACCACTCATGGGTGCTACTGACTTCGGGTTCATTGCCAAAAACATTATATTATAACTAAAGCTAACTTAAAATTTGAACTGATACACATCATTATAAAATATCTAATACCTAATTTAAAATTCATTTTCCATTTGATACCAGTTAATGGGAGTGGATAACTATAGGTATCTTAATTTTAATCGAAACACTTATTTCATCTTGCTTAGACTAAGATTAGACTGAGAAAAATATATTTGGATTACTTTAATAATAACTTTCGATTTTTGAAAATTTGTTTTTAATTTCAGGTAATGACATTTTAAAAGTAACAAAGTGAAATATTACTATAGATCGACAATATTTATTCTGTAATATTAATGAATCTGAAATAAAAACCATATTTATTTATTTATTTGGACAACTAGTAGTTGTTACATTTAAACTTACATCTAAAAACTCAAGTAATAATAAAATCAAATGCACAACATTTTAAAGTGTCACAACATGGTCTCATATTATATATATGTACTTACATATTATTATATACATTACGTTACATAAATTCTATTTTTACATCGAAATAAAGTGTTGAAATTGGTAAATCGACGGTAAAATATCAATTTTTGACTGCACGTTTGGTGCGGTGGCTGGGCAACTGGCTGCCGTGCAACGTGTCGCGGGTTCGATTCCCGCACGGAACAGCTCTTTGTGTGATCCACAAATTGTTGTTCCGGGTCTGGGTGTCATGTGTATGTGAAATTGTATGTTTGTAACCGCACCCACGACACAGGAACAATACCTCCTAATAGAGCCGTTCTTTTTATAATTTTATAAATAATACCATAAAACATGTTCTTGGTGTTAGTTAATACTTCACAAGAATGCTACTTCAATTAAAAATACACCAAGTCGATTTTCTAAACCATGAAAATCACTTCTTTAAAATAAAAAAGGATAAAAATTATGTCTAGCTTGGAACATGACAGCACATTACTTCAAAGAAGATGAAAAATTCTACTAATTACGTAATTGGTTAAAATCATTTACGTCATCTTTATTCTTTATCATGGTCAAGATAGGACTACGTCTAGTATAGTCCCATATATTATACAACCAAAGAGGCGGGCAATAGCAGAAACTCCAGGAAAAAATCAATTTCATTAAAGAAAATCAGAATTCCTTTTCTTTTGCAATATCGAACTAATATCTCTAGTATGAATTCCTGAGTAATGCTTCTAAGAATGTCTTAGCTTCAACTTTCAATATTCTAAGAAGCAACGCTCTGGCTTATTGTTTGAGCCACATCTTCGTTTCTTTTGTTCCTGTTTCCTTACTGCAATATAGCCATGACATCCAGTGTAACTTAACCCCCCTGATTGCCACTACACACTGGCGACATGAAGCAAAAGTTATTTATTTCCTCCTTTAATGAGGTACCAAGATTGGCTGGTCATGTTATTCAAATTGTTACATGTCTCGATTGCGAATGTTTTCACCATTCATATTTATGAACGCAAGCTTTATTGTTTTCTGTCATAAAAGATATTTTAAGCGTATTGTGTTGTATTTTTAGCATAATTCGCTTTTGTATTTATTGGGGAGCTGTGGTTGAGGTTTTAAAACATTGCTCTAATCCATTTCCTTTTTATTCCTGAGTAGAGAGCACGTTTGCAAAACGAAAAAGGCACCACTCTCATGGTATTTATTGAGGAAAGTAAATTGATATGCACAGTTGTACTTATAGGTAAGTTTTTCTTATGAAGCAACTAGTACTTGGAATTATTTATAGCCATGTATTGTGATGTGACCAAAATGAGCGGTTCGTTGTTAAGTGTATAATGTAATTTACTTTAGACTCAACCATATCTATTTTTTAAACTTACACTCTCTCTATACTCTTTTCGATATGAACAACCTAGGTAACTTACTTACACAAGCCTATTTTATCTAATTTACTAGTAAACAGTTTGTTCCCAGTCAAAAAAACCTATATTTATCACGTATAAAAAAAAATGTATATAACAAATAAACTGCCATTTTATTTTGTCAATTGACCAGCCCTTCCCAGTAACACTGATTTAATATAATGAAGACGGACATCATAAATTATTAATGACCTTGTCTATCATAATATATTTGAAAAAATGTCAAAACAAAAACATAAAATCACGAATGGTTGTTTAAATATTTAGATAATAATATCTGAGACCTTCTATTACGGTCAATTTTGATCTCGTTAAAAATTCACAAAAGTCAGTTTTGTATTATTTTCTTTGGCTGTATTATAGAGCACGTTTACCCTGTGATCTACGTTGTACAGGGTGTATTTTTTGAGTGATACGATATTTATGATAAGTACATTGAAAATACTACTGTTATTTATGAGTGGAAGGTGGATTTGTATGTCTGTGGTGTCGACTGACAGTCAGAGTAGTCCATGAAAGGCATCAAAACGGAATCTTTAAAATATAATAATGAAATATTACTAACATTTTGTACCCTAAAATCAAAGCTTTTAAACATAAATTATTTTTGTTTATCCAGATACTTCGACTCGAAAGTAAAATGTAAATAATTGTCTAAAAACAAAAAAAAAAACAAAATTACACGTACCAAAATTATATAACAATTTAGTGAAAAAAATTTTGTAAAATAAATATTAAAATTGCAAGCAACACCTGGTAAAAATATTAGTCGAGACGTGAATAGAAATTACAGGTGACAAACTATGAAAAAAAAATGATATCTTAGTTCAGTATTAGACATACTGCACTGGTACTCAATATATCAAAAGACATCATTCTTACGGGGTTACTTCGTTATTTATATATAAAAGAATGTGACTTCTTTCATAAAACCATAATACAAAATTAATACAACAATAAACTTATGGTAATATTTTCCTGCAATTAAAAATAAAAGTAAAATGGAAGAGCTGCCTGAAATTTCAGAAGAATTCCTGGAACCGATATTACCATGCTTGGGCTTATTGAGAAATGCTCACATTTTGATTTACGTAAATAGAAAACCTTTTTGGAATGACAAATGTCATTTGATTTTGAACGTAGTTTCTGTTGTTACGTATTTACTTTCTTTGACCATGTACATGGGGAAAGTTTTCAGAGGAGAGCTATTACTTGACGAGTTGGCTTATGTTGTCAGTGTTTATGTGGTTACTGTGCAATGTAAGTATATTCTTTTATAAGTCTTAAAAAATTCAACAGTATACAAAATGTTTTTTTTTTTCTTTTAAAAAAACGTTGTCCCACTTAAGGATTTTCTCCTGTGTTGTGGGTGCGTTTACAAACATACAATGTTACATACACATGACACCCAGACCCGAAACAACAAATTGTGGATCACACAAAGTGTTGTTCCGTGCGGGAATCGAACCCGCGACACGTTGCACGGCAGCCAGTTGCCCAGCCACCGCACCAACCGTGCAGTCATGTATAGTTCGACGTTTCCCTTGATTTAATTCCATTTTGCAAAGTCAATATGACTTGGCAATATTATTGTAACTCTATCCTTTCTCTGCATTACTATTCAAACATCACGTCGACCTCGTTCTCACGTCAAATTCTCAAATACACAAGAGCTTATCAACTTCCCTTACATTTTTCCTGCATCTAATATTTTCTCTAAATTCAAAGAACAAAAGACGTTTTCGCCAACGTTTTATATCAACACCTTGCATACGAAAACATGCTGTATACTTTTAACTGTACTCCAAATTTCTCAGCTATTCTCAAAGCTTCAGTTGTCGTCTTTTATAAGAAGGAAATAAGAACTATAATCCTGCAGCTGGGCCGCTTATGGAGGACGGAACATCTAACTGAAGTACAGATTAACAAGAAGAATACGTTACTGAAGAGACTAAAGTTTTGTTATGCAGGTGGGGACTCGCATTTTAATATACGACTTTTGTAAACTAAAGTTTTGTAGTAATTCTGACCAAGGGAGCTCTTACTAACGTTGGGTAAACAGCTAATTGAGATTTGTACTTAAAACTTCTTCAGGCAGGTGGTTCTACTTGAAATTAATTAGGTCGAAAAGGATTACGCTGAGTGGCGTTCAAGAGGTACCTTGCTCTAGTTATTTGTAAATTCCATTAAAAATAAGATACAAAATTCTAAACTGTATAATTAGTTTATCGACTATTAAAATACAAATTGGCAATAGCTGTCGGTTCAAATTAAGTTACATTTTTAATTTAAAAACCAAATATTTTTCAACAGTTTTGAAAAGAAAACTCAACTGTCTGAATTTATTTCAATAAATATTATGAGAAGGTGAAAATATTAAATTATGTATTGTCTGTTGAAATCAATTCGAACTTACCAAGAATACTTGGATACTGAATTGATGGTATTGAAATATTTATTTTCCAACATATAGCAACACAAAGGTCAATAAAAGCGTAATGAATTTCGAGAATTTTATTTAAAAGTAATTATTAAAAATAACAATGACAATGAATCTGAAAAATGTTTAAATAATTCACGATTCTCGACATCGATTTATTTCCTAGGAAGTCATTGACTTCATCAACATTTACCTAATCTCCTTAAGCTCTGACTTCATTTTCTTTCTCGAATGTTCCATGTTGTACAACAAGAGCGACAATGGTCGGGTAATAGATATCACAATCATCTAACATCATAACTTCTTTTGTCAATGTTATCTTTCCCGTAAAAGTGGTTTCTTTACTACTTGTATTGTTTAGTACAATACAGTTCTTCTTGTTTGCTTTGTGTTTGTGCTACGATAAAAGTTTGAGAGGTGCTTTGGGAAATAGTTATTGCGTAGTGATTATTTTTCGGTCGATAAAAATTAAAATACATTCATTTGTTTGACAGGACAGGTGAAACTAAATTACAGTTTGAAAAAACAGAAACCTGATCAACGAAAAATTCCTAGCTTCAATTTTTTTACCAGGAGCACGTTTGCTGTAATTTTAAAAATGGGTATAGAAATATATCACAAATCTAAATTCCAATGGTCCACGAACCTACTTTGGGACTCTAAAAATGATCTAATATAAATTCAATTTCGTATCATTATATAATTGTGATATTCTTTTCATTCTGAAAAGGTTTCTCGTGGTATGAGTACGTACACTAACTAACATTAAATATAATACGCCATGAACTCCAGTGTTTCATACTAAAAGTTAATTTAAAAACTGCAAGCTCGCACTCTAATTAGTCTACACGAATAATTACATCACAAACAACCTCCGAGACTTGGCTACAAGAATCCACAACTTTGCAACCAGCTGCCACTTTATTGCACGTTACTGCAATTAAGTTATTTCCGTTCCTTGCAGTTTTCTACTGGATTAATATTATGATTGGATCTTGGCAATACATACTGGCTCCTTTATTGGAAACGGTTACCCGCAAATTTATTTTACTACAGGAATGTGGGCTGTTACTTCCATTTTCTTGCAGCTTTCCTTTTGATCCTACTGGGAACTGGGGAAGATATATCGGAGTATATATTTTTGAGACTTACAGCAGTAAGTGGGGCTTTATTGTTGTTAGAGAACTATTGTCCTTTAGGGACGCTTCTTGATTTATCATTTCGTTGCTTTTTCTTAGTAGGCTAGTTGCTGAATGTAAGATGTTGAAGCACCGCTTGTAGATATACAAAACGTGTACTGCGTCACTTATGAGTATTTGTAGGTATAGCTAAACATAAAATATTAGACCATCAAGTTCCAGAGAAATATATATTTTGAAATCCTAGTTCATCAGCTATCGCCAAGTAAGTATGACAGCAAAATCCTAGTAAGTATACAAAAACTATAACTGGACACCTTATATATAGGTAATAAACATCTGTCGTTTACTCTCTCTCTCTCTTTTCTTTCTCTCTCTTTCTTTATCTTGTCCTTTTTAATTTTAATGCGAATTTCAATTCTTTCGTGGTGAAAGTACTGACCAAATTTTAATGATGGATGAAGGAATCATTCTTGCCGAAAGGGATAGTGTGTCGGTTGATGTCAGTGTCAAATAACAGATACTGAGTGAAATAATATATGACTCCCTCACTTCGTTAAAAATCGACGATAACCTACTTAGTTTAATATTATGTAGGTATATATAGTATTTTAACCAATGAGCCCTGATTCCTCGGATTGACCTATATAAATTAATAAACATTTTTTTTTTAAACAGCACATAACTCTCATTTGTAATATGTATTTATAACTAAAATAATATAATCTTTTCAATATTATATACCGAGTCTTGTTTATTTTTCATTATTCTATTGGTCTAAAATATTCACATTGATATTTGTTTAACAAGCTCAAAAACTATTTGATAGGTTTGCTATTGACGCCGTTAATAGTGAATTAAACATTTTAAACTTGAATAAAAAACAGGTTTTATTTAAAAAATATATATAAAGTTTTATATGTAATAGGTCGGCAAACGAGCAGACGGATTACCTGATGGTAAGCAATCAGCGCCGCCCATGGACACTCGCAACGCAGGTGTTACGAGTGCGTTGCCGACCTTTAAGAGATTAGGGATTTGGAGATTTAGGGATTGAGGAGGGAATGGGGAAGGGGAAGGATTGGGCCTCCGGTAACCTCACTCACACGGCAAAACACAACGCAGTGGTTATTTCACGCCAGTTTTCTGTGAGGCCGGGGTATCACTCCGGTCGAGCCGACCCATTCGTGCCGAAGCATGGCTCTCCCACACTTAATCTAAAAAAATGAAAGATAGATGTTTCACAAAACCTTTTATAGCACTTTGAGTTGTAATAACATCTGTTCAAGTGTTTGTTTGTGTATCAAAGTACTAACTAAATTAATTCTAGACCAGTTTTGCTTCATAATATTACGTGGGTGAAAACCATTCTGAGAATTACAAAGTGATATAAGTGCTTTTTTCATTGCAAGAGAACTGAAACTGCAGTATCTGAACTTAGAACATGATTATGGCCTTGATCTCCATTGAACACAGTAGAGGTATTAGTTTCTATTTTTGACTGGAAGAAAATGAAAAACTTAACGGATAAATTATATATCTACAAATCTCTTATTTATAACAATTTCATACCTACAGTAAATTGTAGTCAGTTTATATTTCATGTTTACAAATTTCCTTGAGCTTTAGCACCACATTCTGTTAGCCTTAACATCCGCAAATTCCTCTAACAATTTAACCGAAATAATATTTTAAAATTACCTGCAAACAATTTTTTGCTGAAGTATGTTGAAAAATCTTATTAAAATTTCAAACATACAGTCTTAATTTGGTCCCAACGCCGGAACCCTTTTGAACTATTTTGAGAGAGGTGAAATTTCAAAAATTCCTTTCTTCCTTCATCTCTCGTGTAATGAGTGAAGTGCGCCTTAAATTTTCAAGAGTTAACGGTTCTCGGAAAGCTTGATTAATCGCAAAGGACCTTTTGTGAAATTCGCACTAGTATTTGACTTTGCTTTAAATATGTGGATTATATGTGACCCGAATTTGTTGTCAGCGAAAACGTTACCTCGCCCCTTTTTAGTCTAAAAAATGAATTTCGGAAGTGTTATTATAAAAATGAATGCATTTCGGAAAAGTTATTTGGGCAGTGCAATTTTTGGCATGGAACAGTTTAATTTTCTACCAAAAAAATCAATGCAAGCTTTTGATCCTTTTTTGTAATTTAGATACATTCGATCACTTAATGTTTCACACTGTCTCGTATTGTGAGATTGTCCAACATATAGTGAGTTTTTTTTTAAAGTGATGATGGTTTTTTATTTTTCGTTTTCCTCCATTTGAATCTACAATTTGGGACAAGCACATAGTTTTGCTGATAAACAGACTATTTATTCAGCTTTCATGTTTCAAAAATAAGTCATCAAAGCACGATCTAGGTACCGGAGGTTACTATAAGTACTTTTTAGCTCGCCCGGCTTCACAAGGATCATCATCATCATCATCAGCCTATAGGTGCCCACTGCTGAGCAAAGGCCTCTTCACGCACGGAGAAGGTTTGAGCATAAATCACCACGCTTGCTCAATGCGGGTTGGCGATTTCAAACTTATGATTAGAAATTATAAGTCCAGGTTTCCTCACGATGTTTACCTTCACCGTATGTCAGTGGTGTCTAAATAATCATTGAAAGTACATATAACTCGGAAAATGTCATATTGGTACTTGCCAGGTTTCGAACTCGCTATAAATAACACTATTAAATGGATGTTCCCAACCCTTAAACCATAAAGTCTATTTAAAAAAAATCGCAACAAAATTTGTAGCGTAATTTTGAAGATTTAACTAATACATAGAGACAGAGACAGAGAAAGCGACTTTATGTAGTGATTTACATTTACTCTACTAATTCTCTTTCCAGTGTTTAGAATCGTATACGTCTACTTAGGAACTGAATTTCTCATGATAACATTATGTTCTCACTTGTCAACTGCGTTCATGCTACTGCAAGAAGATTTACTAAATAATGAACCAGGAAACTTTGAGGATTTGAAGACTGTCATTGTTTACCACCAGCAATTGATAAGGTAACATTTAGTATTTTACTTTCAAAATAATATATTGAATTGCACCCAATTAGATAACGAAACGAATTATATCAAATAATAAGAATTCAAATACTATTACGAAACGAATTTTAACAAATAATAAGAATTGAAATAAAAAAAATTTAAATTCACAACACCAAATGTTAAACAGATAAAAACCAGTGTGCTTGTCAAGGGCGAGGAGTTGAGTCCTGTAGATACAACTGTCTTTTTAGGTATAACCCTGGACGCTAAGCTCCAGTGGGGCCCACATATAGATGGCTTGTCGAAGAAGCTCAGTTCTGCAGCATATGCCGTTAAAAAAATTAGAAATTTAACAGATATTGATACAGCGCGGTTAGTTTATTTTGGTTATTTCCACAGCATCATGTCATACGGTATTTTGTTGTGGGGGAATGCTGCTGACATCCAGTCTATTTTTGTTCTGCAGAAAAGGGCTATTCGATCAATCTATAATCTTAGTCCGAGGCATTCGCTCAGAGAATTATTTAAGGAATCTAAAATAATGACAGTTGCCTCTCAATATATTTATGAAAATGTAATTCACGCTCATAAAAACAAAAGCTTATTTAAGAAATATAGTGATATACATAATATCAACACGAGGGGGAAAAACAAATATGTTGTGCCTTCCTCCAGGCTTCAGAAAATAAGTAGTTCGTTTAGGTGTCAATGTATACGCTTTTACAATAAAATTCCTAGCGATATTCAAAATTTGAGCCTCAATAAATTTAAAAGTGTAATAAAGGCTAAACTTTGCTGTAAAGCATTTTATAAAATAAAAGACTACTTAGAGGATAGTCAGGCTTGGGAATGAGCCGCTGTAATGTCTGCACAGGTCATGTTGACATGTTTGTAACATAAGTTACACTTTTATATACAATTTGACATTACGTTTATTTTTTTTATACAATGACATGATCACCTATTGTGACATTTTTATTTTTTATTTGACATTTTTTTTTTATTTATTTGTTGACATTTTTATTATTTTATATTATTGTTAGTGTAAGGACCGTGTGAGACTTGTCGTGCTTTTTATCACCAGTCATCTGCGTTCTGACAGTTTGAGTACTTGCGCGACCCACCCAAATGTTCTTTTGATCGGTATTGTTCGTCGGACAACTCAACAGCACTAGCTATATGGTTGCAAACTGACACTTGCGTGCCTGTCTTCAGAACGGGTCCACTTAAACTGGTGTGGTTCTTTCCTCAAAAGACCACTACAGAATGAACTTGCACGGTTCTCTCACATTATGTTATTTTATATTGTCTGGACTTGAAAAGAGACTGACCTCTGAGTTTGTTTCGGCATTTCTTCTCAGAGTAGTCAGATAGGAAATGCCGGCTTCATCTAGTTTTTCACATATAATTTGACGTGTAAAAGTGCCGTTTTAAGGCCTATTTGCAAAAATAAATTCATTGTTTCATTGTTTCATTGTTTCAATACTAGGAATAGACGCATGGTTAGATTCCTGTGTGAAATAACTTTTTGTCTTAATAACAAATTATTGTTCTGGATCATTTTATGTGATAGGGCAATAAACTAATAGACGCATTACCAGATGGTAAGCAATCGGTTCCGCCCATGGACATTCACAATATCATGGGGGGTTGGTTGGAAACCGTTGGATTAGGTCGTTTGCAACTGCGTTCTGCGAGATCAGATATGTAAGTTATTGTGGGAGGATGATGATGATTATATTTGGTTAAAATTTGATAATATTTTATTTGTCTTTTAATCTTTTTATAATGTTTAATAAAGAACAAAATATACGAAACTAAACTTCATGAAACATTTAAAATAAAATGTTATTGGTCACACTTTCGTTACGTTTATTATTATTTGTTTTTTTACAGTATTTCAAAACAATTGGATGATGTTTTTGACAAAGTTATATTCATCAATTTGTCGTCGGCCAGCATATCAATATGTTTCTTCGGATTCTGCGCTAAGGTAACGTAAATCGATTACAAAATTACGATATTTTCATTTGGTAGATAAGTTAGAATAATAAATACGTATTTTTCGATTCTTAAGGAATTAAATACTTTATACTTTAAAAAAGTATCGTGTGTTTTTTCAATAAGTTACTGGCGAACTTAATATTTTTTTGGTTTTCTATTATCATTTCAAGAGAGTGATAATAATTTTATTTATGATTAATGCCTTTTGATGCCTCTTAATGTAATTGTGATTATTTGAAACGTATTTATTAAAATAAATATTATGTGCAATACACATGCAGCCACTTCAGAAGTGCACTCCCTTTTTATTAGTGTATCTTTAGCACGACGAAGATTTGTCCTTTGGAATGCTGAAATATAGTTCTAAGTAAGGCCATTTTCTATCATATCTCACTTACACACAGACGAAAGATTTAATTGAAAAATGGTTACATCTAGAAAATGCTAGCATGTTTTTCTTTGCTCTATAATCATTTTTAACAAGTACCACCTGAACCACATAACAAAACTCAAGATTACTCTGATAAAAATAGCCAAAGAAAATTAAGTTCGTTCATATAGTTATATCAGCAAACTTGAAAGCTGACGAATCTAAATCTAACTTTTTTAGGTCGCTCATCGAGCTATTGACATGGTTAACAATTTCGTCGCAGTTGTCACTTTGACTTTGCCGTTATTTAACTTATGTGATTATGGCGAACGTTTGCGAGAAGCTGTGAGTATAATTCTCTTTTAATTATTGTTTTTAGAAGAATTTTTTTTTGGTTTAAAATAAAACTTCACTCACTATATTTTTCTTATTCATATGTTCGTGGATGCATTTACAAACTCACAAGTCACACAGACCTTAATTGTGTAGTAATATAAGTAATAGTAGTAATATAGATAATAGAAGTACAAAGTGTCCCGGTCAATGCGTCAACTGTGCTATCCAAGTCAAGGCAGTTTTTTTTCCAAGAGATCAGGCCACTCATTCGCCTTATGGTAAGCAATTGATTCTGCCCTTTGTCACCCGAAACGTCAAAAGAGTTTTGTAACTCCTCAAGTACGTTATATGCCTTTTGTAGAAAAAGTTTAACCTACGAGAACCTTACTTCTAGCGAACGAAAACGCAAGAACTGTTTCAGTCAGTTATTCTGTAATTGTAGTTTGTAGTGTGTATCCGTGGTAGGTGATGCTCCGGTCGAGCCGGCGTTGAAATAACCACAGCTTTGTTTTGATGTGTGAGTGAGGTTACAGGAGGCCCAATCCTTGCCCTCTCCAATCCCTTAATCCCCAAAAACTTTAAGGTCAGCAACTCATTCGTAACTTTTCCGTTGTAGCGGATGTCCATGCGCGGTGTGATTGCAAATAAAATAAAAATAGTTAAATATACATATTATTAACAAAGTCAACTTCTTTCAGAGTGCAGGAATGGCAGATTCAGTTTATCATAACCTATGGTATCGAGGCGATATACAGTATCAAAAGCTGCTATGGTTCATTATGAGAAGGTATTACAAAATTTTGGGCAAATCTTCGTTTATTACTCGTATCAAATTAAGCAGTATAATCACTTGATTTTCCTTCAATTGCAGATCGCAGAAACCGTGCTGTATGACCTCTTTAAAATATAGTCCAATTGGGCTAAACACATTTGCAGCGGTAAGTTTTGTTTAACATTTTGTGTCAATGTAAAGACTAGACACGTTAAGGTTTGTACATTTATTATTTTCGTGCTAAAGATTAATAGACCTATTTTATTATTCTGATGAAAACGCAAATAAAGATATAGATTTTTAAGTGTGGGAGAGCCATGCTTCGGCATGAATGGCTCGGTTCCACCGCAGTGATACCACGGCCTCACAGAAAACCGGCGTGAAATAACCAAAGAGTTGTGTTTCGCCATGTGAGTGAAGTTACCGGAGGCCCAATCCTTCCCCTACCCCAATCCGTTCCCTTTCCCAAAATCTCCAAATCCCTAATCCCCAAAAGGTCAACGCACTCGTAACTCCTCCGTCGTTATGTGTGTCCATGGGCGACGCTCATTGCTTACCATCAGGTAATCTGGTAGCTAGTTTGCCAACAAACAAAAATATCGTACGATTTCCCGTGATAGCGATCAATTTAGAACAGTGTGCACTTCAGCTCACGATCAAACGCACCAACGTAAGAATCACTTAGTATTATACTGTACTTTTAACAATAAACCTTTCGGGACTCTTAAACTTAACTAACGACTTCTAAAGAGTGAATCATAAATAATTAGTGTACAGTCCACTACACTGTAAAGACATATTCGCTTAGTTATCGCATACATCGATATTTGGGAAATGGATGATGAATTTCATTTTGTTACCATTCCTTGCAATGTCTCCTCTATGCAAACCATATACTTACATAGTCGGGTTTCTGGTCTTCACCGCAGTCCCAGTTCAAAGCAGAAGAAACAACAATGTGATTTTTAGTCAATACCTAGTCAGTAAGTCTGACACTTGCGCCCCCCCAAGACGTTAAAGGTGTTTGGATAACATTCCCACAAAATAATCTGAATATTCGCGGGTGAAAGTGCAAAACTGTACTTCGATCCCAGTTCTGATCAAGCGAAACAACGGGGAGATTTTTATTCGGTACTAGTGACCCACCCCAGCTACTTACGGGTGCAATGATGATGCATAATTTCGTCACTTCATAATGGATGTACCAATACATATAAACATTAATCATCAATGGACACACTATCTTCAAAAAAAATCCGCATCAAAATAGGTTTTACTTTTTGTATAATACTAGCTACTCTCGCACGGTTTTACAAGCTGCTCAGCTCCATTTTATCGTAACGTGATGTTTTATATAGTTTTATAGCACTCAGGAAAATTGTAGCTATCTCCCAGTGAAATAATTTTGGCAATCCGATCAGCGGTTCCAAGGATTACCCCCTACATACAAACTTACAAACATACAAACTTACAAATTTTACCTCTTTATGATATTAGTATAGAAGTATAGATGTAGTAAAAGAGTCATACTTAAGCCCCACCCAGAGCGTTACAAATCTTTGGACAATATTCCCCCCACTACCCTACAAATATAATCTAGTATACTAATAATATTAATCATATTATTGAAAACTCATCTAAAATTAGTTCTTTAAATCCATACTAATATGTTGGAAAACACACAGAGAGTGGGTAAACGTTCTGTTCATACGCAAACACGACATGTGATTCCATTTCCTAAGTGTACGTGTCCTATTCAAATAATATTGAAAATCTAATATCTTGCTCGAAGAGAGTTTAGTACGAGAATAGTTGGTGCTACGTGATATTGTGGGTTACTCGGACATAATATCGTTTTATTATAGGCGTTTATATAAAAGCTGTTTATAAGACACCAGTATGAGTCCTAGTTCTAGATTAAAATGGAGACTTATTTTGATGTAGGGGTACGAAATGGAATTCTTAGCTTGAAGTTAGGAGGGTATTAGTTTTATTTTATAAGTCTGTAGGCGGTGTATTTTTATTTTATTTTAAAAATGTTGCTCTTGATTAATTTATTGATTTTCTTCTGAATTTCACATACACAATAGACACACAGACACGCAGGCTCGGAAGAACAATTTATGGATCACACAGAAAAATATTTCTTGTAGGAATCGAACCAGCCGCCACGCAGCGGCCGGTAGCTCGGTACCTGTATCAACTGCAGTCAAGAACATTATAGCTTCATATTAATTATATGAAAAAAGCATAAAACTAATATTTAAGGATAACTGCCAACCACATAACGCAGAGCTGTTTAAAAAAGAATAAAAAAATATATATAAGCCTACAAACTGAGCAGATAGGTTACCTGGTGGTAAGTAATCGAAGCCGCCCATGGAAATCCGCAACACCAGAGGAGGTACCAGTGCGTTTCCGGCCTTATGGGCATTAGGGTTTCGGAGATTCGGATTCGGGGATCTAATAGATAGGGGGAGGGAGAGGATTGGGCCTCCGGCAACTTCACTCACATGACGAAACACAACGCTGTGATTGTTTTACGCCTATTTTCTGTGTGCTCGTAGTATCACTCCGGTCGAGTCACCCATTCTTGCCCTAAGCTTGACTCTCCCACACTTAGAACAATTGCACCTATATACCAATTCTAAAAGTCCGAATACCAACATAATCCTAATACCTATTTAATTTCAGGTACTGAGCACAACTTGGTCGTACTTCTCTCTGGCTTCGAGTCTATACGAAAGTGAAACTTGAAGACTTTTAATTATTTAATTTATTAGTAGCAAAGTTTCATCGTAAGTAGTAGCACGAAGTAGAATTAGGTTCATGTTAATAGAGTTGAAGTTTCAATAAAGTTTTTCTTTCGATATAATGGGTTTAAAATTTTTATATGTGACAAAGGTTTTAGTAATATATAACCATTTTATTTTAAACTTTTTTAAACCAGCGTTTACAGAATTAAAAATATATATTATCTAGATTTGGACCTAAGTAATTTGGTAATTTGATTTTTGACTACACTGATGTATATTTTTTAATATATATATATTTTTAAACCAGATCAGTTTTTAAATTATCATATTTGTTCTGTTAAACTATAATATGGACAAAAATGCACATCCACACTTTGATTACAATTTTTGACACTTTTGCTTCTAATTCAGTTCATAATATTATTTACGACTAGCTTATTTTATTACCAAACATAGAAAACACTTCCAGACCACTCAGCCCTTACGTGGCGTACGCGGCGCGTTGTGCGTTCGTTGTACATTACAGCAGTAATTCGCTCTATCGTCCAGGCAAACAAACATTAAGAGCAATGTATGATAAACGCACGACGCACTTATTGATAAAAAGTCAGTACTTATAGAAAACAAATATTATTCAATTCAGGATTTTTTGAATGGCGATAGTCTATAGTAATGATATATTTTTCATGTAACTTAATTAATACCCTAAAATACCTATAAGGTGGTTTGTATGTAATAAAACCTTTTTATTTTTCTTTTGCATACCATAAGGTAGAATGTGTTAACTCTGGAACTCTGGAACTGGAACTCCTAAGAATAATTTTAACATCTTATTTTATACTATGCAAAATAAACAATTTGATATGATTTGAAACCCATGTGTTTATAAACGACGTCTTTATACACATTATTAATTACAAATACATTTTCTCAGCACCTCATTCGCTGTTCATTGTCATTCAAAATTCGCATTTACAATTCCTTTTACCTACCAAAGCAGTAGCAGTCCAAAGAATGTCCATCGTGCTAAAGTCAATAAGAGTAAAATCAACTTAAATATTATTTTAACAAGCTACGTCTGCCATACTTAATACAAGCCACGGTTACTCGTATTCCCATCACAAAGGACGATTGTTCTGTTAACACTAGCGCCACATAATACAATTACGGGTACAGCACTAACTATTTGCTCTCCTCATTCCTTTTAATTAGAAGCTTTTTATTGTCAGCGTGAGGCCAATAAATTCAATTATTCAACTCGAGGCGGCGGCCAGTTCTTTTCCAAGTTTTTTTCCTCGCAATTGGATTTCATTTGAGCTCATTGGTTTTGTAATAAGAATTGGTGCAAATTATCTGTTGTTTGTAATTGGAAAAATATATTTGCGGTTTTCTTTTCAGTTTGAAAGGCGAATTAGAATTGGAATTTGTGATGATTTGGTTTTGGCATCGTACCTCGTTAATTAGGTATACGCGGGAGCGCTTACGTGACTTGGTGATGTCTCTAACGTCGTACTCATCACTATAAATTTTTCATATTGGGCCTTATTGAATTTTTGTTTATACCGTGTCTTATTGTTTCTAGTGGAAACTTCTTCAAGGAATGTCAAGTTCTAAAAATATGCTAATGTAAAAGTTATACGTACATAAGTTGTTTTAAAAAAAGTAAAAGTTGATATTTTATTAAATTATCCACTTCAATTAAAAACTCAAATAAGTATTCTGCTACTTTTTAATGAAATGACTGGCATGAAGTGTTAAATATTTTATTAAAATAATATAAATTAGTCATACCCAACTAGCGAAACCTTGCCTCGAGCTTCCTTTTTCACGGAAATTCGGAGAAAAAATGTGATAATATTTCATGCATATTTTCTTTCATTTTGTTCAAGCTATAAAAAGATAAATATGGTGTTCCAAGCTCGTGCCATTTTTATATTACGTACTTATCTTGGAAGGAAAGCTCAGCTTTCACTTGAAGCGGGGCGCGCGTCATTTTGGTCACGCTCTGGTAACCATGCAAGGGTTGTGCTTATCTACATAATACATGTCACAAAACATGATGAAAAAAAAGTGTATTGTCTAGAAAGTCGATACTTTAGTTTGCCCAGAATTTACCATCAAATACTTGCACTCGGTTACAATGAACATTGCCCAATGAAGTTAACGGTATGTCGGTATAGCTAAACAGATTTTTTTAACCCCACATCAGGATTTTATACTCTGTCGTGGGTACGTTTAAAAACATACAATTTGACATACATATCGCACCCAGAGCTTGAAAAACAATTTGTGGATCACACAAATATATGTTCCTCGCAGGAACCGACCCCGAAACACGTTGCGCTGCAGCACTGAATTAAAATAAATTTAACAATAAAATTTCATTTAATTTTATATTGCTGGACTCCTAATGTTTTTTTTTAAACCATTTCATCGCCATTGTTAACAATTTACAACCAACAACTAGATCAAAGAGGCAATCAGTTCAATAATAATATCAACTAATGCAAGAAACTCGAGATTGAGAGAACTTCGTAAAGATTTGAAGGTAGCTCAACAAATTGCCGATTCCCAAAAGTATCCGAAAACTTCCTTCTATCAACATTTCAATACAACTTTCCATATTATCTTCTATTCGACGAAATACTGACTTTGTGGAAAATTTCACTTCGACTTTTCTCATTAAAATATAATAAGTTTAATGGGAAATCAAGATGTATGAATAAATAAAATGGTTGTGTGGTATCTCTCGTTTATATACTTTGGTGTGTAGACCATTTATAAATGTAAACCTGAAATCAATTCTATATATTATTCTATTTAATATTTTCATGTGAGTATTTATGTCCAGCGATTACTCGAAGACGACCTGACGACACCTTTTATTGCGTCGTTTATAAAACGGATTTATCAAATCTTTTTTTAAGTTTGAGAGAGCCATGCTTTGGCACGAGTGGGTCCGTTCGATCAGAGTAATACAAATGACCTTACAGAAAACTCATCCGGAAGCAATCAAAGCATTGTGTCACACCGTGTGACCAAGATTACCGGAGGCCCAAATCTCGCAAACCCTAATCCCTGAAAGGCCTCTGGTGTTGTGGGTGTCCATAGGCGGCGCCATTGCTTACCATTAGGTGATGTTGTATTATAATTATATTATACTAGCTTTTGCCCGCGCCTTCGTTTGCGTAGAATAGTGGCTTCCTGAAGATTTTAGGTATAAAAACTATCCTATATCCTTTCTCGAGTTTCCGACTATGTCTGTTCAGTCGTTTGGGCGTGAAGAAAAACAGACAGATAGACAGACGGACAGAGTTACTTTCGAATTTATAATATTAAAGTTTGGATAAAATGCTTGTTTACCTACCTACCTACCCACTTTTAATATCAGTCAAAAAATGAATTCTTGATATAAGAAAACTGGATGGGGTGTTCAAAACCACCGTTTCATTTTTGTGATTAAGTAACATGAGCTAGTATGTAGCTATGTAATTTAGAACACTGTAAGATCTATTAGTGTACGTGACCAGAAGCATCCAGAGTTCCAGAAGCTACAAGTACACAAAAGCAATGGGTACTGATATAATTTGATTTAGTATGACTAGAGTGAATGCGAGTGTTATTACAGTTCCTGAATAGAGGTTTCTTTGTAAAATTAATAGACCTTGTACTATAGTACCCATATATAAATGGGGTGTATATAAAAGGTAATATACATGTAGGTGTCATTATCCCCAGAAGGTCAGCGTAGCACTTGTAATTCTTCCATAGTTCCTGTTGTATGTGAGCGGTGCAGATTGCATTACATCAGGTAATCCATATGCTCGTTTGCCGTCCTAACTAATAAAAAAATATAATTATAATAACTTTCACATTTGCTAGTTGTATTATGAACCCTATGATATGTTACTAAGAGTGGCCCGACTACGTTACAACTGATACACCATTTTGAAAAATTGAGAAAATTTTTAGTTTTCATCAGCCTATAAGTGCCCATTGCTGAGCAAAGGCCTCTTCTCACACGGAGAAGGTTAGAGCATTAATCACCACGCTTGTTCAATGCGGGTTGGCGATTTCAAGCTTATAATTAGAAATTATAAGCCCAGGTTTCCTCACGATGTTTGCCTTCACCGTGTCAGTGATGTCTAAATAATCATAGAAAGTACTTATAACTCGGAAGAAATCACATTGGTACTTGCCAGGTTTCGAACCCATATCCTCATGCATGAGAAGCGGGCTGCTTAACCTTCGGGCCACCACGACAGTTAGTTACTTTACTTACCCGAAAATAGCTATTTTGATTCTGAAAATATTTGATAAATTATATTCTCTACCTATTTATTTCCTGGGTCTATGGTGTGATATCAGAATTATTGTATTTATCGTCTCAGTCTCAAGGTCAACATTTCACCTCTATTTTCAGCTTATGCTAAAATTTGTACGAACTTATAAACTTTAGCAATTCGAAAAGTAAATGTCATTGGGTCTTTTCTTTTGGGTATTAAAGTTCTGATGTTAATTTGACATTTATTACGATGATAGGACTTAGCTGACATTGATATTTCAGTATAAGCGTTTAATAAAAGTCTTAAAATAAATTCGATAAAAATCGAATTTGGAACGATTAGGAATTCTTTTAATATTGATATTTTATTTATATATTCTCTAAAACAGTCTTTCGATCCATCGTCTTTGTCTATTTATAGACGGGTGTTTTATACTAATAGCATAGTGACTTAGTTTGTTAAAAGAATTACAGGACGAAAACTTACTTTTATTGTTTTCCAGCAAAACCGGCGTAGATAATATAATCATATTTGCTTAAATTTTATCAAAAACAACACGACAACCAGAAAGAGGACAAGACCCAAGCGTTTAATCAAAGCAATTACTTTCTAACCACATGTGGTTTGTGAAAGCTAAATTTTCACCGCCACCTACACTTGAGCGTCCATTTAGAAGTCGATACATGGACCCTGGTACATTGTTTAGCAGCTGTGGTTATGAAAAATTACCGACGTAAGCGCTCACTGTACTAACACTGGGACGATGTCCAAGAGGCAACGCGACGTGACCAGAAAATTATTAAGATTAATATACTTATATTGTGTTTGGAGAGTGAAATCTGAGGCGGATAAATGTTGCTTGTATCAATACGACTGCTAATTTTTGCTCTAACACGTATTGTTATTTTTTTTTTCATTTGGGCTCATTGCAACTCTTAGGGTAAAGCTAGCATTACATTATTTTGTTGAACGCGTTAAATGGTTGAGTTTTTAACTCAACCATTATTATTATTATTATTGTTTTCTGCCTAAAGCAGAAAACAATAGGACAGTAGGACAGGGGCATGTATCGTCCGGAAATGTCTTTAAATATGGCTTTGGTCACCAGTAGATTCGGTCTGTCCCGTTACAAGTAGTATTTTTTTAAGAAAATACTATAATTAATACTGGTTATGTTCGAAGGTTTTTTTTCAATAGGTACTTTATGCGTCTGTTATAAATGTATGATAATATATTGAAGAAGACAAAAGTTAAAAACAATTTTGAGACCACCGTTAACTTTGTCACTGTTCGTCCCTTAACTCTGTACCTAAAAATTTTGTTATCGTGTCTATTCTGCTCATGAATATGACCCATAGCATGGCTTGAAACTAGTCGATCTCCTTCTCAAACAGATACGTAAGTAAGCCGTTAAACATGATAATTAATTTATGGGAATAATATCATTACGTATATGCGCGGCATCTAAAACTTTGATACACAAATAAAGACTCCCGAAATGAATTTTAACATAATGACAAATTGCTTAAGAGTAAACTTTTGAAATATAATTTTGCGACATAACGCTACTTGCTTTCAAACAAATAGACCAAGTTGAGAGCAACGTGGCCAAACCGAAGAACTTTGATTTCAGCTCAAACCTCTTCTTTGCGAACTGAAAGAGTGAAAATTAATTGCAAATAAAGAAAGTTTTGATCCGAGCGCTCTCAAGTTGTTTCTCTTTACAAAAGTGAAAACAATCAGATGCCTAAATGTTAAAACTTAGGTTATTGGGAATTGGTACTGACACGCTCGTTTCCATTTGCTGTGTGGTCTGAAGGTGCTTCATAATTCAATTCTCACGAGGTTTCAGTTTTGTAAAGAAATATTATTTGAGTGAAGAGATCTCTCTGTACCTAAAATTAATATCTTCCGAGGCAGCTAAAATGAGGGTAAAACTTAGAACATACTGATATAATGAAAGTTCAAGAGAAATAAAGTCTTTTCCAATACCATTGCGTGTAAAAAAGCGTTTCGCTCATACCAGATTTTTAGTATTTACGACTACTATTGAAACGAGCCATAAAATGTAACGACGTATTTTGACATGACTTCAACAGTCCTGTATTGGGTGTCAACATTTTATGGCAAATAAAGTTACAACGCCATCTAGTAATAGTTACTGGAACCGCACGGTTTGTTGCGTTGCAAACACGACTAGTTTAATGTATGACGCGGATACATTTTAGTTTGAATACAAACAAAAAACAATAAGAAAGGTTTTATGTTATAAATTCGAATGTTTTGATTCTAGAATATGTTGGTTATATTGGGAATACGAGAAGTGTACATAATTAAAGTGCTGTGAATAATGTTTCATATATAATCTCCTAGCTTAGATTTTCAGTTTTCACAATTTACATTATATTTGCATGGGTTAATGAAATGGTAGTCATAAAAGTAGCTTAATTAGGCGAATCAACATAACATTAAAATGGCTGAATTTATAATTTTTTCAATGGTAGGCTTGGTTAAGTCGAAACCAATTGTACTACGATACCAACTAATGTATTATCTTTTAAATTATATGTATATACTTATGTCCTATTATACCGGGATAAACCTGATATTTTAATAATATTGGACTTGACAGTTCAAGTTTAGAAACGTAGTCTTGAATTTTACATAAACCTGATCAACGTTCAAGTTCCGAATTCACTCCCGTGTTCTTCAATTGATGAGAATAAATAACCGCTACACCGAGTAAATATTGGCGACTCCAAATTCAGCGTTTGTTGTTAACTTTCAAATGAAATACTTAAAACAAGGCTTGTTTATGTTATTAGGGCATAAAGTTTAAGTGTGAGACAGCTATGCTTTAGCGCGAGGGCTGGCACTACTGGAGCGATATCACGGCCCCACAGAATACCATAGTGAAACAACACTTATGTTAAATTTCTGCGTTTAGATGAGGTAACCTTATCTCCTTAAATCTCATATCCTTAAAATCCCTAACAATCCACAAAACGCCGCATTCGTAGTTGTAACTCCTTTGATGTTATGAGCGTCCATGGGTGGCATCGATAGCTTACCTTCAGGTGATTCGTCAGCACGTTGCCAACTTATCCAAAACAGGTTACACGAAATATAATACAAAATCTTCGACTTAATAGACCAGCTCTAAAAATGCACGTTAGCCGACACGGAAGTCACCGGTGACCTATGGTAGGGGAGGATTTGCCTTAAACAGTTTTCTGTCGGCAGTCAAAGGCTTAATGTAGGGATAAGTATGTTAACAAAGTTTGGTGTTAATAAAATATATATGATAGGTACATGCTAATGGTCTATAAATTAGATTACATGTAATAATGGCGTTGTATGTCAACGCCTACAGACAACTACAAAATTACGTGGTTATCTTAAAAACCAGGACTCATTGTATAAGGTGCGAGAACGATTTTTTTGCTAAGCAAAGAACAAATCCTAGTCTGCTGTGCATTGCCTAATACGACAAACACAATACTCCAAAGGATCGGGTGATCATAGAAACTCAGGTCTTTTTTAAAGTTTTTTAATGGCCGTATCTTAATACTAAACTAATTTACTTAGGCTGAATAACATATTTATCACAAAGATTCTTCTTTTTAAACTCCTCAAGTAAATTGTCATCCAGCAAGTTATTGACAATGTTCGTTACTCTAGTATCGTATGGTGCAGATGGATGGTCAGATTCTATATGATAGATTTTTACCGGGTTCTTGGTATATTTAGACAGATTGTAATCAGCTGACAATTTTTCTGATTGCAAATGAGGTTTTCCTTTTATCAAAACAATATCAGAATTTAATTTCACTTTCGGTTCGTAATTTTTAGCAAAGGAAATGTTTCGGTACGCAGAGTCTAATAAAGACCCTTTATATTGCTTCGAGTAGTTTCTTATTCCTCGCAACGTGTACAAACAGGCGTCGACTTTCGTTGGCCAATCATTTATTTGCTCCAAATATTGGCCCAACTCTTCGGGCACCTTTCCAGCTATAAGTTGCGATATGTGTTCCAAAATCGCGTTCTGCAGCTCAGAATCCGAAATCTCTCCTAAATATGAATTAAGCTGTATCCTTAATGCATCTGGGCTGCTGTCCAAACAATATACGACTCCAGTATGTCCTGTAATTTTCAAGCAGTGTAAACATGAGATTTGAATGGTAACCAACCATTTGTAGGGGAACGCTTTGGAGAATAATTTATGAATGGAATTCATAATACTGTTTCAACGTTGGAGCGTGAAACTGAGTACACTTATGGTAAACAAGTCGAGCAGATGGTAATCAAAGAGTTTTCGAATCACGAACCAACATTGCATTAATATGCATTAGAAATGTTTTAGAAATACACGTTTATATAACTCGAATACAAAGTAATCAGTGAATCGAAACTAACTTTACACTTTGAGATATTGAAACGTATTATTGTTGATGTTGCAGACGGAGTTAATGAAATTATTAAGTCGTCATTGGTCTGAAGGAGAAATTATTGACAAAGATTTCTTGGGAATGAATTAGTTCTTTTAATTTTTCGTGGAATACTGTATATATAATTTTATTCGTGAATACATAGATGAACGTGTTAATTTGGTGAGGGGTCGTAGGTAGGTACATCTTAATTAATAATCGCGGGTATCGCACGATCTCCGGGGAGGCGGCGAACCTCCTTGCCGGATCACCGCCGTGGGATCTAGAAGCGAAGGCGCTCGCGCACGTCTACAGTTTGCGCGCAGACGCGCGTCGCCGGGGCGAAGATCCTCTGCCGCGCCAAATAAGTGCGTGGCGGAATGAGCTCCGGCGAGATCTCATGGCAGAGTGGAGACAACGACTGTCGCAACCGAGGGCCGGGCACGCTACCATAGCAGCGTTAAGACCCCTCTTTGAGGAGTGGCTTGAGAGACGCCACGGCATCCTCACCTTCCGTCTGACGCAGGTGCTTACCGGGCACGGCAGCTTCGGTAGGTTCCTGTTTCGGATTCAGCGGGAGGAAACGCCCGAGTGTCGTCATTGTGAGGACCACCTAGAGGATACGGTGGAGCATACGGTAGCGGTATGCCCTGCCTGGGCTGAGCACCGCCGTATCCTCAGGGAAGTGATCGGCGGCGGCGACCTCTCGCGCCCGGCCTTAGTCGAGGCCATGGTGCGGAGTGAGAGGAACTGGGACGCCGTCTCCTCCTTTTGTGAAGCAGTCATGCTCGCAAAGAGAGAGGCGGCCTGCGTGAGGGAGCAATCCTCCTCCTCACGCCCCAGCAGCCGCAACTGGCGACACTACGGGCGTCGGGGATCGAGGGACGATCTCCGGCCACCGTAAGTACGGGCCTGCGGTCGGCGAGTAAGGGCAGCTCGCCGCCCGACCAGAACCAGGCCCGAGCGTACCGCGCGTAGCGTTCCGCGCGCGCCTCAAAGAGCCAATAGACCACCACAGACGGGGCCCTAAAGGGCTGATGTTCAGCCGGGGTTGCGGGGTAAGTGCAATAAGGTACCGCGACCTCGGCACAGAGCAGGAGAAGGAACAGGGGGGTTTTTAGTCAGTAAGAGTCTGACACTCCCTCCTGCCCGGCCCTGGGCGGGAGAAGTCATTTGATGATTTTCCCCTCACAAAAAAAAAAAAAAAAATCTTAATTAATAATAAAATATTGCAAATAATTATTATAAAATAAAGATGGGAAAGGTAAAAACATTTTACATTTAAAAAACTCTGTTCTGATGTAAGTTATTTGTAACAAGCCTTTAAGGAAATAGCACCATTAACCTTGACACAATTACTGTCTCAAATGGGACAACGAATTTTTCCTATTGATAAAATATGTTAATATTTACCTTCTTTCTCCAATATGGCAGCCACTTCCAAAGCAATATTCACTCCAAACGAATACCCCAAAAGATAAAATTTGGATTTGCTCTCAAATTTCGTCTTCATGAACTGAAACAATATATATTTTAACGTTTCATTTCTTTAAGAAATTTGATATAATAAATAGCCTACCATTATTATAATAGCAAAGCTCTCGGAGGTATTTTAAAAATAAAATATTAGTGAAATTAGGTTTGCGTCGCGCGCCAAAATGGGAAAAATAAATGGTGATCTTTTTCTTAAAATATGTTACTTTTATGGTTTAAGGCTTATTGAAGTAATTGAGGTTTATTTGTTTTTTTTAATAACAATAAAATTGGTTTACCTCATTGGTGTATGTATCAAATAAAGTGTTGTTGATGGAATATAAAACAAAGCGTGGCATACAATAAAATAGTAAGCAAAATATATTTCTTATAAATTAAAACATGTAATAATAAAAAAAACTAATAGTTACTGAAAATTTAAGGTAATGATAAACATAAAAAAATATTTTACACACAACACAATTATTATTGAAAATCAAATTACCTTACGAACAGTAGCAGCCATTTCTTCAATATTATTTCCTTCAATATCAGCAGCCAATTGAACGGCTACTGCCTGCACCTTTAGTCTCTCTGCCAGACCACTAAATATCTGGTAACGACCTTCAAAACCTGGTATAAGGGTCAAGTAAGTTTCTTGAGGATCCAAATCAGTCTAAAAAGAAAATAATTTTCTTAATCTCTTTTAATTTTTGAATAACCTCAAATCTTCTCTAATTCAATTTAATTTTTAATTTTCTTTTTTGGAAATTTTCTATCTTATTTCTTAATCTAAGTTATTGTAATTATTTATGTAGACATTACTTTAGGTTGCGTAATCTTGATTTTGGAAGAAAATTCACGGTTTTGTTTGCTGAATTCATAATTTTGTTCGTACGTTGTCTTTGGGCGTTTTATTTCTAATGGGAATAAAATATTTTTGCTAGCTTCTTCTTAAAATTATGGTATTATATAAAATTGTAATATCTCCAACTTTATTACTGTCACCACTAATATTGATGTAGATGTTTGTATATATTACGAAGACTATTGTGAAGGGAAGGGAAAATTTTCTAATTAATTCTCTGATGCCAATGAGTGACCGTCTCTTACTGATTTAAATTTACCCGTTCCTTTTCGTGCTCCAAACTGTGCCGCCTTATTTCATAGTTTTTTGGCAGGAACCTCAGCCAGACACGTATATGATATAATTATACGATTTAAATAGACCTAAGAGACAAGCGCAATAAGGTACCGTGGCTTCTGTCAGGAGCAGGAGAAGAAACGGGTTTTAATCAGTAAGAGTCTCACACTTCATCTTGCTAAATTCTGGACGAAAGAAGTCTTTTGGTGATTGCTGTGAGAAGGTTATTTTGTTTTACATTAAGTTCTGTTACGCTTTTAGTTCTTAATATCTTACCTCAGTTCCATTATTCAGAAGTGTCACCATAGGTACAATGGGGTGTGATGTTAATAAATGGTCTTCTTCTTCATCGATACAAGTGTAAAATGCACCCAAACCTTCATTATTCCTGGGTTTTTCAGTAGACTGACTTCCTATATTCTTCAAGCTAAAACAGTCGAGCATGATTTTAATGTATGTTAATACTCTAGAACTTTTTTCTGAATGTATAGGTAAACAACAGATGATGTTTTGGCTTCTTCTATGGCAATTGAGTAATAAAAACTGATGTTGTGATAATTGCTTGGTACAAAACTTTTTGTAACCTACATGCAGAAAACTAAAAAAAAACATTCACGAAACATACGAGCAAATGTACAAATAAGTACATACATATGTATGTGTAGTTCGGAAAGTTTACGCTACGAGTATATACCTAATCTTACAAGTTTATAGTAATTTAGCTTACCTTCTCACTGTCATGTTTACAATTTTCTCTATAGGATAATCAACATTATGTATATTTCTTATAACAGTCTGTAATTCTACTAAATTATCTTCAGTTAGTAGCAAATCATTAACAGTGAAATCTTCTGGAAGGGCTTCAATTTTTGGTACACCTGGAATTTTTACATCAGCATTATAAAGAACTTTTATATAGACAGTTTTTTTAATATCGTTCTTAAGCGTTCTAAAGAGAGAACTATTTTTAAAGTCTCTTTGAAGTATCTAATCCTTGACGAGGTGATTTGACAGATAGGTTTGATGCAAACGCCTCAAGATTGAGCTCGATGTATTATTTAAGAGGCGTATAGGCAGATAGAAATTAAATTATGATGATGATTACATTATCTTGAACATAAATGTGGGAGAGCCATAATTCGGCATCTATAAGCCTGTCCGATTGTAGTGATACCACAGCCTTACAGAAAACCAGCTTAAAACAACCACAAGTTTGTGTTTCGCCGTGTGACTGAGGTTACCAGAAGCCTAATCCCCCATGCCTTGCCAATCCCTATCCCGAAACCCCCTTATCTCCAAAAAGCTTTTTAACGTCCTTGTCACTCCTGTAATGTTTGAGATATCCATGGGCGTCGCCATTTATTTACCATCAGGAATGAATGCTCGTTTGCGTTTATGTATCACATAAAAAATCAACTTATCATAGTTACTTAGTATTCGATTTTCAGACAATATACAACTAAATTCAGTATCAAATTTCCTGTTACACATATCATACATATTACACAGTATTTAACTTCCACAAATATCACCAGCACGTACCATTGAACTTTGTCGGTAACTTGCTGAATACGTGTTCAATGCTCCTATTGGTCAGTAAAAGCGCTCATTGCACCTCACTTTCCAAAACCAGATGCATTAATTCCCTTTGAATTCTCGTACGGCAAACTCATTAGCTTCTAATGTTATGGCACTTTAGAATTGGGAGCGTATTTCCATGGCAACGTAAGCAACATTGAATAGGCTGTTTGTCGATTTTGATTTATTAATCCGGAATTGATCAAAAGCTTATTTGGGTTCTGTAGTGAATAGAATTTCAGAAACTCGAGAAATTATATCCCTAACCAATGCCAGTAGATTGGGCTTACAACAGATTTCCATATCATTACTTTGGAAACTCTCGAATAATATGAAATTATTTGCCTTTTAAATATTGTACGAATCACCTGATCCGATCAGGCTATCGGTGCCATCCATGGACACTATACAAGTTACTAGAGGGTTGCCGTCCTTTTAAGTTTAGTTAAGAATTTGATGATTAGGGAATTGGTAATGGGGTAAGAGGAGGGCAAAGACTGGGCCTCCAGAAATCTCATTTACTAGACGAAACACGCTCTTGTAGTGGTCCGGAGGTTTAGCGCCCAGTTCTCAAGTACGAGGGGTCGGGCTCAAAACCTGGCAAGTACCTATGTAGTTTTTCTGAGTTGTATGTACTTTCTATGATTATTAAGACACCACTGACATACGGTGAAGGTAAACATCGTGAGGAAACCTGGACTAATAATTTCTAATCATAAGTTTGAAATCGCCAATCCGCTTTGAGCAAGCGTTGTGCTTATTGCTTTAACCTTCTCCGCGTAAGAAGGTTTAAGCAGCAGCTACTTATAGGTTGATGAGACAAAACAACGCAAGCGCTGTTTCACAATTGCCGATGAGACCGTGATATCACTCCAGTCCATTTATATAGTCAAATTCATGGCTCACTCTCAATTAAAATTGAATACGAGTGATGATAAATTGTATCAATAGAAGATTTATACAATTTAATTTTAAAATTAAAAATGTGTCTAGCAATGGACGTAAAATTAAATATTAAATAACTCACCAAATATTTTCGCTAGTTTCATCTCATAGTCCAAAACGTTTTCTTCATTCGAATTAAAGGTCAGAACATTGTTGTATTTTAATTTCAAACTGTTTTCCATTCCATTGAAAAATGCCGCCAATTTTTGAGGCTGCCAAATTGTCTTGGTATCTCCCTATAAGAATAAAGAAGATTAATAAGTATTTCATTATCTTGAAGAGATATACCTACATAATATATAACTGGTTCCTATTGTTATTCATTGCATTATAAGTCCATATATTGACCAAAATATTATTATATTACAATATCTATCACTGATTTTACGAAAATCCGACTTCAAGATATCTCAGTCATAGATTAATGACCTCTTATAAGGCTTATATTAAAGAAGATTGAACCAACGATCTCAAATTCATCAGCCAAATTCAGTAGCCTCCCTCTTATATTTCTGAAATATGACTGAAGTCAAATAAATAATAAAGTTACTGACTGTCTACTCTATTATTTTCTTTTCAGTGTCTATACAGTTTCGGTATTAACAGGATTAACAAGAAAAGGGTTTTTCAAAACAATAAAAGAAAGTCACTTCTTCTCGTCTTACGAAATTTAGTTAGTACTGCATTTTGAACTTTAACGTCATTAAAGAGAAAACATATTTCTTTATTTTTTGTAATAAAAAATACTTACTTCTGCCAAATGATCCATTCGCATGATCAGGGCTGGTAAACCATTTTCACTTCTCATTTGGCATACTCTCTCGAGTAATGAGTAGGAATACTCATTGCTTGTGCTACGGGAAGGTGGTAATAGAACTACAAAGTAGCTGCAAATAAAAAAGTAAATTAGATTTAAGCTTAGTAACACAGTACCTGATCTTTATAAGATCTTGCATGCTCAACTGTTGTTTGAAAACACGTGTTTTTTGACAAATAAACGTATCTACCTATCGATCTATCTTTTACGCAATCGAGACATTTCAGAGCATTTTTAGGAACTTATGAGAAATTCAAATTACATTTTGTGTTCGCAAAGATTATGATTTGAATAATTTATGTTTGGATGCTTGTTGCAGCACGAATTGCTACTGGCTTGTCTATGCAACTACAAAAGGCTTATAACAGTAGAAAATTCTTAAAGCATTAAGTCCGCCCTAGTATGAGATGCTGAATTTTATAAATAAATATTATTTCTATACCTTTACATTACAGAGATTTTCTATAAAAAATTGAAGAAAATTTATGAGACTTTTACAATTTCGCTTTAATTTCATTATGAATAAATTCGATTTACTCGAACAATTTTCTTACTAACGTCTTTTCTCTAAAATGCTAGCGGTATAAGTAATAATTTATCCTTAAGAATAAAGCTTTGAATTCTACCTTAACTCATTACAATAGTTTTTAGACGTCAAGTCGAGATTTATGACGGCAAAGGCGGTCTTATTGAACGTTTGGACAAAATCTAGTGCCCTCTCATCGTTCTCATCTTCAATATCGGGAACTATGAAAATTCCTCTAATAGAACCAATTCTGGAAGCTTCTTTCAACATTCTGGTGCAGCCTTGCTGTGTCTCAAGATTCTCGGACGATATTTTTACGGTCACATTTTGTTTTTCCCAGGATCTGTTGGAATAAAAAATATTTGTACATCTACTTGTAGGTATATAAAAATGAATTGCTGTTTCTTAGTCTCTCTAAAACTCGAAAACGGCTGCTCCGTTTTGGATAATTTTGAATATTTGTTAAAGTCCAAAGACAGTTTGAAGGCTCAGAACAGTTTTATTTGAGGTACGAATTTCGCCGGGCCAACTAGTACTGAATAAAATTGTGTTTTTGTCATTTATTATTTATTTCCCTATTTTAATGGTTTCGTTTCTGTCATAACCATAATTAGACATTTCGTATCAAATCAAATCAAATCAAAATCATTTATTCCAACTAAACCATAAATAGGTACTTTTGAAACGTCAAAATAGAAGTAAATAATCATAATCGTATCATAATCGTATTCGTAATAAACATATTTCCCGTAGCAATTTTTGCAGATTTTCCACTTGACCCAAAGGTTGACTGGTAGATAATGCCATATGGCATTAAGTCCGCCTTTTTGTACCAACTTCGTTTCATTGCGTACAATAAGGCATAAATATATAAATAATTACCACTGATCAGCTGTGATGTCTAATTTGCTAGAAGAATGCTATGGTTATATCTACTAACACTTAACAATTACAAAAATAATGTATCTACATATACTTACGCTAATTTAGAATGCCAGTATCCACTGATATTAGTTCTTGAATGTAGCACAATCTTTCTAGCTCCTCTTTTGACCATTCTATCAGCTAGCTTGATACCAATGCCACTCTTATCGCAAACCACTATATAGACACTGCTCGAATTGTAGATCATACTAAAATTAGAAATGGGGAATAAATATAAATGGATTGTTTTTATGTTTTCGCCTGATATTATAAAGCAAAATATGAAAGAAGAAAAATATGTAGGACCCGTCTAAAGAAGGACAGATACATACAGGTAGGCTGTATATTGTATAATTACTAAGTAACAAAACAAGGAACCGAATACATGTAGTCGCTCTTGCAGTTTTGTTGTGTGTCACATGTGGCGTATATTTACAATTTACTTTTCTGAATCACCTCAACTTAAGTGCCTACTACTGAACAAAGGCCTCTTCTTACACCGATAAGGCTTAAGCAATAATCACCTCGTTTGAAGTTGGTATATGTTGAGGTTTCTTAACGACGTTTTCTTTCACCGTATTTCAATGATGTTTAAACTGTTTTAAGTACACATAACTCGGAAAAGGTTACATTGGTAATAAAAATTACCAATGTTTCGAATAAGAAATGGAGGCCCTAACCTCTATTATCGAGTATTTAAAAATATTCTAATAGATAATGTATTCAAAAAATAATTTATAGGATTGAACAAAAAGAAATAGTACATGAAAACCATTGTATGAATAAATTAATCGTTTAAAAACTAAACTACACCTATCAATCATGCCAATATTAAAATTGAAGTTACAAATAAAATAATAAATATTCTATTTAAACATAGCAATGAATATAAGAGTATTAATAATCGTAAAGAAATATTTGCTCTCAATATTAAAGAAGGAGCTACAATAGAAAATTTGTATTGACGCATACAAATAAAAATATTTGTTCAGACATCAAAATAAAGTGCAAATGAAAGTCGATGAAATATTGAACTGCGTAAAGTAATTACGTTAATAGCTTACTAATGTTTTGATTCACTTTATTAAGTGTGAAAGCAATAACTTGATAGATTAATTGATACGATATTAGTCTGTAAGTGAAAGTGTCACTAAACGAGAACTAAATTCTCAAATTGTTTATTAGTATATCTACGTAAATTAGCTGACGCATCCAGCTACACGACGATGCCACAACGCGCACGCTCGTAATGAATAAAAATCCCATTGTGACTTGAAACTAGTAGAGCATTTCTCAATTTAGTCACACGAGTAAGTAGTTATTTTCAAGAAATTTTATTTGTCGTACGATGGTAACTATGTATATGTATGTTACATTTTGTATCTTAAATTGATTGGCCTGGATGTATGAAAAAGTCTACAGCACCGATTTATAGCTCTAGGCGGGACTTAAACTAGTCATTAGAAACGATAACTTTTCTAACATAATTGCTAGGAACTGAGTGTAATAATTACTAAATGTGTTAATGGTGAACAAAACAAAATTTGTCAACTATTTTTTTACCTATTAACTTATAATCAAAAAATCTCACTGATCAGTTTCGAAAAATGCACCGACCGGCCGGGAAAAACAATTTTTTATTATCTAACTAAAAACCACGATTCCCACATGAGTACACTCGACCGACTAAATAATCAAAAAATTATATGACAACTTACCTTGGTATCACATCAAAGCCTTTCACGAGCTCTGGACTGCTCATTTTGATTAAAACTTTGCCAATATGCTTACTTGATGAGATAAGTCTAAACGCTCTCGAGATTTGTGTTGGTGTATATTCTATACGGCTTATTGGCCTTACGGTACCGTTTGCAATACCTTCTGCTAACATGTGTTGTAACATCTGTAATTAATCAAAACCTTATAATATTGAACTACTTTAAAACCTACGGTAGATAATGTTATTAAGTTGAAGAAACCACTGGTTCGATTTGAATAATTCTTTTTATGATTGATGACTATTCAAGGACTTCTATTGATTAAAAAAATATCACGCTACGGCCGATAAGAAAACGCTAGTAGTACTTTAATAACATTGTATGAAAAACTACTAAATTTGAAAAAAAAATCGACTTATTATATGTTTTCGTCAAATTTTGAGGATAACAAGTACAATAAATTATATAAAAAAAAATGCATATGAAATCTATGAAGCGGAAACTTGTTTCAAAACTACCTAATAAAATAGTTTAAATGATTTAAAAATAGAATAAAATTCATGTTTCAGATTTATACGAATTAGCTAAATGAACTGAAAGAACATCTGTGTGAATCAATTTCACCGAACATTTAGGTAACTCTAAAACAAAAATTATATTCGTGTATTATAATTTCGAATATAAACGATTCGACAGTTTGTATATTTTATTTTTTTAAATAATAACTATCGAATAGTATTTAATTTGTCTGACGACAAGTTCGATTACCAAGATTTAAAATATTGAATATATATAATATCTACCTAGAGATAAAGATAGGATTTTATAAAGCTTCAATATTTATGCGTAGGCTTCATTTTATAGTCGACGAATTATTTCTTTTTCATACGAAGCATGTATTCTATTTATTCAATATCAGAACCAAAACAAATTTTCTATGCCCATACTACAAAGAAAAAACCAACATTATTTTTACTTTTATTTAATTTATATTTTAAATAAATTTATTCCTAAGACGCAATGAATAAAAAGTTTAAATGTTGTTGCATTTTAAAATAAGAACATAGGCGGTTTCAAAGGACGACTAGTCAACATTATACCTACATACATTACATAAAAATGTCCCTTAGTGCATTTAATGTTGAGATCTGAGTGCGATGTCAGCACTAAAAGCGCTGAAAGCCGCTTACATCATGTTTATAAATTCTACATACATATTTACAGTTCTAGGAATTTTATGGTTTAAAGAAACTTGATTTCAACTTTATTGCTACGCGAAGAAGGAATATTTTATATTGTTAAGTGTGGCTTTATAAGGTTTCCGTACATAACGCGAGTTTTTTTTAAGCACATGGCATGGCAATGCAGAATGCATACTTCAGTTAGACATTTATAACTTTAACTTTTAGTGTCAACAACAATAAAGAAAATGCTCATTACGACATTACCCAGTCAATAATTACAGCGAAAATATATTTTAATTTAAAAATATATTTTATTATTTTACAAAATTAAAATAAAAACACACACCTTTTTCTCTGCGGCATTTTCCAATCTAAATAAACTAAAGAAATTCACAGCTTTGTATGATCTATCCTTTTCTAAGTAAGACATTCCTATATCTTTGTTTTCAGTCATGTCGTAAGCACTCAGGTCTAAGAAGAAGCCCATTATCCCAACACACTTCATTGCAGTCTAAAACAAAAGAACATCATAAGTTATGGTGTTATTTATTGTGAGAGAGCCATGCTTCGGCACGAATGGGCCGGCTCGACCTGAATAAAACCACGGCCTCACAAAAAAACTGGCGTAAAGCAACACTTAATGTGAGTGAGGTTACCGGAGACACAATACTCCTCTGCATTCTCAATCCTCAAATCCCGTTTCCTTAAATTGCTAATCCTTAAAGAGGCCGGCAACGCACTTGTAATTCTTTTGGGTGACTATCACTCTCAATACCAAGCGCGACGCTGATTGCTTATCACCTGGTAATCCGTCTCATTTGCAGACCTATGACATACAAAAAAAAACACACTTTTTTATGTAATAAGTCGGCAGAAGTGCAGACGGATAACCTGATGGTAAGCAATCCGCGCCTCCCATGGACACCCGCAACGGGGGAGTTACGAGTGCGTTGCCGACCTTTTAGTGATTAGGGATTTGAAGATTGAGGGATTGGGAGAGGGGAAGGATTGGGCCTACGGTAACCTCACTCACACGGCGAAACACAACGCTGTGGTTGTTTCACGCCGGTTTTCTGTGAGGCCGTGGTATCAAACCGTTTGAACCGACCCATTCGTTCCAAAGTATTAAACACTGCTGGTATTACTGTTTTTTTCCATCAATTTTCTTTATCTAAAGAGGTTTGTTATTTATTAGGCATGAAAAAGCGTACTCACTTCTCGTATGAACCCACTGGCACAGTTGATGACAATATCACATCCTTTATTATGTGCATACATCTTAATCATACTCAGGAATGAATCATCACGAGAATAGCCGATATTTTTCTCTGAAAAAAAAAAACTGGTGATAATGCTCTAATGCTAATAATATCATTACGATTTTGTTCAAAGAAAGTAATTTTTATAATTTTTCGCATAGATATCACAACTATCCCTGATAGTAAAATAACCATTCATTCAAATGTCGTTTTGCTCCAAGTAAAGCTTCCTCATACGTAACTTAGGCTCATATAGTCATGACATTCTTTGCTGTGTGTGTGGTGGCCCGGAGATTTACACATAATTTCATAATAGTCATAATTTCCTGTAGTAAATCCTCAATCCGCCTTTACCAAGCGTGGTGAAACGTTCTCAGTGTGAAAAGCCTTATATGGTAATAAAATTCGACTAAGGCATAACAGATTACTATAATTAAGTAACTCGTCAATATAAACTGATAAAATGTACCATCAAGTCCCGGGAACACTTGTAGCAATATATTCTTCTTTCTCATACAATTGACTGTCGTAAATACAGTACAATCTAAAGACAGGCATACGGCTATCACAGCTTGTCCAAGAGCTCCCGCACCGCCTGTCACGAATACGCTCTGCCCTTTCAAGAGCCGACTCTTTATAGTCTGCAAAAGAAAAAGATTTATGTGCTTATTTCAAACGAAGCAAGTTTTTGTAAAATAAGAGGTTTTACACTAATTGCTTGTAATTTAGGAGCTAAACTACTATTACTAATTCAAGTATAGTAAATGTTTTACTAATGTATTTTCAGCTCGACGCGCAATAAAGCTAGCGAAAAATAACACTAACGGTAACCTCTGAGAAAAAAGCGTTACTTTACAACATACTTTACTATCATCTTTAGCCAAATTTCACCATTTAAAGGACAAATTTGAATTTTAATAAACATAGTATGAGAGTCTAAAATACAACACAATATTCAAATAGAATGTGATATACTAAGTCAGATTAAGTTGTTCCGACACAACACAATCCTAGATAAAGTCCAGGTGGCTATATTGAGGGAATAAATTAAACGCCAGTCCGGTACTGAGGATAATACCCCCTAAGGCTGACAATCTCCCATCTTCAGTTTACGCATTCAGTTACGATCCTTGCAAGTTGATATTTAGCTCCACACATGATATCTAGATAGAGAAATGAACCCATTTAAATGAATATTTTATCAAACAGAATTCTAAGAATATTTCCAGTTTCCTTGATTCACTTTCTTCAAAGGTTATTTGTCTTGATACATGTTATTTTTGGTCTTTATAAAATCCGAATGATGCCTTTTTATACGTATGCTGTTTCCATCCTTTTGAAGATTTGAAGTAATAAAATCATGTTCCGATGTTTGGTTCGGTCGAAAAGTTGTCTTTTGTAAGAAAATAATACTTTACGATGATGTTGAAATGGTATAACTTTACCATTTTTAAGCTGAACTGCTTTCGAACGACGAATAGGGCAGAACACCCACTTAAGCTATTGTTTGACTTTTTGTTGCTTTGAGATTTAAAAGATTTTTCAATTTGGATTTTTGACACTGAAATATGAAGGTACGATCACAGTTACAATTATAAGACTTTATATACAAAATTATTCTTACCAAGCAGTAATAAGCTAGAGCGTAAGGCAGTGGTACAGTTGCAGCGTCTTGAAGACTCCAATGTTCTGGTACTGGCCACAGTAAATCTGAATCTGCTTCTACTGTGGTACTTAATGAACCACCGGCCACCAGTCCCATAACTCTATTACCACTGAAAAAAGTACAACCATAAAAATTCGCTTTTTAATTTGATTATTGAAACAAATACTTTGTTTTTTTATGTTATAGGTCGGCAAACGAGCAGATGGATTATCTGATGATAAGCAATCAGCGCCGCTCATGGACGGAGTTAAGAGTGCGTTGCTGCCTTTTTGGGGATTAGGATTAGAATTTGGAGATTTAGGGATTGGGAGAGGGAAATGATTGGGCCTCCGGTAACCGGCGAAACAAAACGCTGTGGTTGTTTCACGCAGGATTTCTGTGAGGCCGTGGTATCACTCCGGTCGAGCCGACCCATTCGTGCCGAAGCATGGTGGCACTCCCACACTTTGTGCTCTTAGTAATTACCGTTGTAGGTATGTTATATTGATTTGGTCAAAATCTTATTAGGTTTATGATATAAAATATTATTATTCTAAAAAACACTGTAAAGAGGTTTGCAACGCGGTTGCTTCTGGTACTTCAAATAAAATATTGTTTTATTCGTTATCTATGGTTATAAGTTTGGTGTTATTAAAGTTTTCTGTGTAGAATGGTTACTTACTCAGCATTTGTACCGCTAAAGTCCATGCCAAGAGGGGTCAAATCGTCCCTGGTATTACTAACTGCTTTTTGAACATCTTTAGACGATATCCCAGCATACGATACCTAATAAATACAAAAAATAAGTATGATAATTAAATACAATACGCTTTATAGCATTGTTGATGGTAGCTAAGCAAATCTGCCCTAGAAGTATTACTGGTTTGGTGTGATAGGAATTAATACATGGTGCCTGACCCGACATCTCTAAAATGCCAGCAATGCATTCACAATTCCTCTGGAACCTCAATGGGCGGTGCTGATTGCTTCACATCACATATACTTAGGTTTAGTTAGTATAGGCCTTTTCTCACACGGAGAAGGTTTGAGCGATAATCACCACATTCGCTCAAGGTACATTGGCAATTTCAAACTTATAATTCTCAATTATAAATCCATTTTATGTTTATCATTAATATTTATATTAGAATATTTAGACTTACCTTAATCAAATTATGTTTATGAGCTGTATCAGGAGCTTCAACCCACGTAAGGTTATCCAAATCTCCATTTGGACTGACCAAAGTAACATTATGAAGTTTAGTTGACTTCGCCGCTGAAGTGTAGTAATAACCTCCCCATTGTCCCTGTTATAAAAAACAATATGTCATAAAAATAATATATAATCATTATCTTCTTATGTTTAATTATTTGAGAAAAAATAAATAAATGAATTAATTTTTTTCGTCTAGTCTTTGTCTCAAGATCTTCATAAAAAATCTACAACTGAATATTTGTGATCCTCATTCGACATTTAATTTTTTTCAAAATTGGAAGCAATGGTTTGTTTTACACACTCTGATTAGGTTTTTATTTGGAAGTAAGACTCAGCACCTTATTTTGAAAATTTCGTTGGCGTACCATTTATTATTACCCAGTTCATAGATAAAAACATATAAACAAGTAGCTAGTAAAATATATTTCTTTTCTTAAATCGTTACTCGACACTTTTTGCCTGTAACTTGGTTGCATTATTTACAATCAAACAATTTGACATACAGAGTACAAACAGATCCTATAACTATTTATGAATCACACAAACAGTTGTTCCGTGGTATGGCAGTCGGCTGCCCAGTTATCGCATAAACTGCGTAGTAAAAAAAAATGTTAAAGCGACGTCGTTATAGGTACTGGAAGTTTTCAAACTTATTTCCTTGACGAAAGTAAATTGTATCAACATCGCAACTCGGAGCCCCATGTAGCGAAGTGTTAAAAGGCCAAGATTGTGCAGAGGACATATTGACAGATCGTTAGCTTGTCGCCTACAAGCGTCAAGGAAAAGCATTTCGAAACTCGTGAGGAATTATAAAACATCTTTCTGTTTCTTTATAAGGAAGGCAACGAAAAATATTTTGGGAAAACCAAGGGAACGCAGTTTTTTTTTATGTAATTGGTCGGCAAACGAGCAGACGGATTACCTGATGGTAAGCAATCAGCGCCGCCCATTGACACCCGCAACGGAGGATTTACGAGTGCGTTGCCGACCTTTTAGGGATTAGGGATGTGGAGATTTAGGGATTGAGGAGGGATTGGGGGCGGGGAAGGATTGGGCCTCCAGTAACCTCACTCACACGGCGAAACACAACGCTGTGGTTGTTTCACGCCGGTCTTCTGTGAGGCCGTGGTATCACTCCGGTCAAGCCGACCCATTCGTGCCGAAGCATGGCTCTCCCACACTTAAAGTTAGTTAGCAGTTAATGTAGTGTTTAGCAGGGCTTTCTCAATTTGTTTAATAAAATAGTACTAATTATAATACACGTGTTGTGTTCAAACGTGCATATTACTGTAAGTATCTTTTTATTGGTTAATAATGTTTCTAATTTATAATTTAAAAGTGACTCGTGTGCATTTCTAAACATTTATAAAATACTAGCTTTTGCCCTCGACTTCGTTTGTGGAATAGTGATTTCCTGCCTATGTCCTTTCTCGAGTTCCAAACGATGTCTGTTCAAAATTTCACAGAAATCAGTACAGTAGTTTAGGCGTGAAGACAAGACAGACAGAGTTGCTTTCGCATTTATAATATTAGTTTATAATAAAGTGCTATTCCACGTGTTAATCGAATCCACCACCTTGTACCGCAGTTGATTTTATGTAGAAATTTTGATACATTACCTTTCTAAAGATATTGACGGTCAGATTTTTATTCAGTTGATGCTTGTAAATACCGATGTCTGGATCAAAGGTCGGTGCATGGCAATCATCAATTGCTATCAATCCTATTTTGTCTTCTCCATCACTTTTCAATTTGTTAACGAAACCTGAAAGAATAATAATAATATTCTATAATGAGGTTTTTTTTGAAGTAAGTCGGTAATACCTATTTTTACTACTACTATATTACTACTATATTTTTTTTCTATTCTATCTGTAGATTTACATAATGCTAACTAGCTTCTGCCAGTGATAACGCCCGTATTAACTGGATAAAAACCCGTGTTTTATTGTAGATTTTATCACACCTATGGCGAATTTCCAAACACTCAACCATCTATATCTACAAACTTTCAGGTTTTAAATTTTAATAATCCTAGGAACAAAAGATACAAAATTATATAAGTTGTCCCAAAAATACGTAAATAATTTATTAAATTTTACCATTTCAAAACCCCGCTCACACATTGTATTAACAGTATTTTTTTATAGTGTAGATAAATAAATTATAAGAATTTAGTAACCCGAATTACATAAAGATAAGTTATTTTCTATGGAAAATTATTAATAAACATAAGTAGAAGCCAATATAAAATATAATACCTAAAGCTCCACAATATGGCTGCCGCTCAGATACTAGCATTACTCGCTTCGTTTTATTAAGTTCAACATGTACGCGCGACACCCAATCCAATTTATTATCACAATTTACAGGCACATAAGTAACATCCCTGGGATTCCGTCGCTTCAATAATATTAATATTTGCTTTCCATCAGACATGGAACTTATGACAGTGAAGTTCTCGTTCAATGATCCTTGTAAAGCTGGCACTCCGCACTCTAAGGCTATTATAAAACTGTCCTTTGATATGTTCTTTAGCGAGTCCAGTTTCTGCAAAAAGAAAACTTAATAGAATATGGCATCAACACAGGATTACATTAGGAACATTATTCAACATTGTTTATATCGTCACGATAGTTATTCGACAAAATAATATACAGGTCATATAGTACCTTTGTCTTCCCCTACACTGTATATATATTTTATGGAATACGTCGGCAAACGAGCGACGGTTTACCTGATTTAAGCAAAATCGGGGCCGTCTATGGGCACCCGCAACACCAAAGGAGTTAGAGAGTACGTTAGAGGCCAAATTGGGTAGGTAGGGATGGGGGTGGAAAGCATTGGGCCTCCGGTTACCTATCTTGCACGGCGAAACACAAAGTAAGGATTGTTCCACGCGGGTATTCTATGAGGTCGTGGTTTTACTCCAATCTAACCGGGTCCATTTGCTCCTAAACATGGCTCAATTCCACTCTCAAATAATTACACATAATGATATGTTTACGGTTGACATACTATGTAACCGTGCATGAGCCCTTTATCGGAGCTATACGCCGAACATAAAATCAGAGTTCTCCCAAATACATACTGCATTTTTTTTTCAAAAATGGAAAAGCTTTAATTTAACATTGCTTGATCCGAAATTTAATCTTGCTCGTTAGCCAACCTTGTAAATGAATGTACCGCGGCACATTTTAAGTCAATAAGAGTCTGACACTCCCTTCTTCAAACAACTGAAACTAAAGATGCATTCGAAACATCTTTCTCAGCTATAGTAGGTACTTAGCAGTAATAAAATTAAAACTTTGTAAAATATCCTATTATCTAGTTGTAATCTAGGTTTTTGGTTCAGACATCGGCTAATTAAATCATGTTTCGAGTATAAACTAAAATATAATGAATAAAGTTAATCCTTTTGTTTGTGGAGACCACTTGTGTTAATAAAATCTGAATATTAAAATTACTGACCCCTTTACTCTGTTTTCATAACCTAAATTATAGGAATCTATCCATGATTTGTGACCTGCTTTTATACTTATAATTTAATACATTTAATTGTTCAAGTATTACAGGATCACATAGGAACCGGGTGGTTTCTAGTCAGTAAGAGTCTGACAATCCACTCGCCTCATCGCATGCGGGAAAAGCTATTTAAAATATGTACCCACTAAAGAATATCTATAAAAAAGGCGTAGACATTTCTATTGAAGTTTAAAATAAAGAAAAAACATCTTAACAGAAAAGTGGGAGTGCCAACCCCTGAGTTTATACAATAATTAAATCAGTGTTCACATTCGATGGTTGCTACTCATGCATAACGGTGGGAGGTTTAAAAACCTGTTGAATACCGTGTGACTTTTAAAAGTGTACTTTTCACATCAATTAGACATAACATAATAATATGATCACAGAAAACTTACACACCTTAGGCATGGATGGGTTATGGATTGGACTCGGCCAGAGTAATATGCCACGGCCTCAAAGAAAAGCAGGGTGTGTTATTTGCCGTGCGAGTAAGGTCACCGGAGGCTTAATCCTTTTTCCCCTCGATCCCTAAATCTACGAAACCTTAATCCTTTAATGTCCGGCAATGTAGTTACTTGTAACTTCTTCGTTGCGGCATGTTCATGGGCGGCGCTGATTGCTTACCATCGAGCAATTCGTCAGAAGTACGGCAATACTTCCTTTTACATAAAAAAGAAATGTAACGTTACAAGTTTTAAGACGATTTTTTTCCTTGAGCAAGCGTTATTATCAATACTCATTTCTATGTGTGAGAAGATGCCTTTGCTCAGTAGTAGGCGCTTAAAGGCTGATGACGTTGGATGTTGAACTACTTTCAAATCTTATGACAACGATCAATTACGATCGTCATCTGAATAAATAATATTATGAACAAAATCTCTCTTACCTTTTTGTTTCCAAACAGATCCTCAATAATAAAAACATTTGCTTTATCTACGTCGGAATTCTGAACTAACAAAGTATCAAAATCAATATTGACATTTATAATTGAAGCAACGTCGATCGTAACATTTGGAATTAAGGTCGATATCCCTTTGATTATACAAATTATATTTGTATTCGAAGTTACAATTTGAGTGGTCTTTATCCTTTTCAATGTGGTGTTTTCAGCAACGATTTGGAGCATTATTTGAAGGGCTGTTTTCATCTAAAATCAAAAAGAGTTATAGGCGTGGGCATTCAAATCAATTTTTTCGAGACATTTTCCAGTGTTGATGGACATGTCAGTACATTTTAGTCAATTTCTGTCTCAAGTGACGTTGGAATACCTATAATAATTATGTCTTAAATGTGTGATTTACTATTATCATTATCCATATTATTAGTTCTTTCAAAAATCTCTCCTATTATAAAAATTTTACGTCTTCTGTATCACTTATAAATTACTTTAGGAGCCATATCACGATAATAAGCTATATAAATTTTGCTTGCTTTCATCCTAGATGCAAGTCTGCAGATTAAATTCAGTGCCAAGAACGCTCCAAAGTGATTGACATTCAATTAAGAATCTGCTTATCCTATGAGAAAATGTGAGAAAAGGCTGCCGTTAAGTTTATGTCTTTAGCCGTGCTTTCAAATATTAGATAATAATAAAATTTTGCATTAAATAATAAAATTAAGCTTAAATTGGATTATGACGATAAGAATATCACACAAAAGAAAATTATTAATTGCGTGTGTTAACAAACATACAATTTCACATACACATGACACCCAGACCTGAAACGACAATTTGTAGATCATACAAAAATTTGTCCCATACAGGATTAAAACTCGCGACACATTGTGCAGCAGCCAGTTGCTCTGCCACAGCGCCAACCGAGCAGTCATATTATACATATTAGACATATATTATATCCAATTTATGATGAACAGTCAGGGGTCAAAAATGCAATTACACTCTACCAATTTTAAAATGACTAAAATTTCTTTGTAGTAAAAGTTCAGTGGTTAACAGCCAGTTTATTCAATAATTCAGATTTTATGCTATAAATTTAAGCAGTCCTCAACCATTGACTCTATTCTACAAAGATATTTTGGTCATTTTAAAATTGGTAGAGTGCAATTGCATTTTTGCGCCCTGGATGTATATTCAAAATATAGGATTCACAAAAGTTTAGTTGAACTTTGTTTAATATTAGTGTCTGTTACTTTTCTAAACACTACTTCAACTACTGTTGAAACGCCATTTTCCTATGCTGAAATGATCACTTCATGTTGACTGATACTTACATCAACTTGATCCATATTGTAGTGCGGGAAGAAAGATTTGGTCAATAATACTTCAGGCTGTTGGTCTATGACTGGTTTATCCACAAACGTAACGTTATCTAATTCAACGCCAGCGCACCTAAGGAAAAAAACATAGTTTTTTATTGAATATTTGAATTCGTCGTGGGATATAGCAAATCACATTTTCTTTGTAAGTCTGTTTTCAATTGTTATTGTGAACACCATAAAGTACTACTTATATAAATAGTAGTAATAAAAAATAACTATAAGTCTATTGTATGGTTTAACAGGTTTTAAGAGGAATATACTAATAAAATTACTCTAGTCTATTCTATTTTTGTTTTTCATGGCCAACAACGCCATATCTATACTAATATTACAAAGAGGTAAAATTTGGTAAGTTTGTAGGTTTGTATGTAGGGGGTATCTAATATTTGGAACCGCTGGTCGGATTGCCAAAATTCTTTCACTAATAGATAGCTACAATGTTCCTGAGTGCTATATAGGTTATAAAACATCACGCTACGCTAAGTGGAGCCGAGCAGCGGGTGAAACCACGCGAGAGTAGCTAGTACTGTATAATTTTGGTGATTGGAGATAGTTAGACCTTAGGTCACAAGTAAGAATTTGCATATAGTAAAAATTTTTCTCATAAGAACTTGTTCACACACCCTCCCTTTATATAGATCTACACTAGCATAATAAATATGCATATTGCGTAGACAAAACAATCTTCATTCAATATATATTTCATGTTAAAATAAGTCTTCGTGCACATAATAATAAAGTAACTTTTTTGAATTTGAGTAAACATCAAAGGACTTCAACTGAATGACATACGAATATGTATCAAGATCAAAAATATTCGAGACAATATTTTATGTCATTATCTTGTCCTTTTTGAAAGATATTATCTATCACGTTACTTAAATAAACACCTACAATATTATCTAAGAATATTTGGGTTTCAAGAAATAGATCTACAATGGTAATCCCGTGCTTCAAAATGTAAAGACATCTGTGAGATTATCTAAATTGAATTCTTTCATCTTTTTTGTTTCTGTGTAAAAAAAGCTTTCATCAACTAAAAAAAGGCTAAAAACATTATAATCAAAGTAGGTTCAAAGCATGTACCAAATATTCTTTTGACTCTGCCTTTGACAGTGGGTATTTTATGTATGTCAAAGTAAACACCCACGGCGAAGTTTTTTTTTTCAATAATCAAATTTTAATATAATTAAATTCAAAGTCAAAATTTATTGTAACTAAACCATATACAGATACTTTTGGAACGTCAAAAAATAATATAGTAAAGTGTAGATTCAAATGGAGAAGAACGAGCAAGAAACTCCATCGTTACTCTTTTATTAACATGTCAAACCCACTGTTAGTCCTCGTTTATGGATAAGCGGGTTGGTTGACGGCGCGTCGTGCGTTCATTGTACATTGCAAAACCTGGCTTCGTCATCATTCGCGCAAAGACAGTGTGCAACGACGTGACATGTACAACGGGGTATATACTCGTACAACGCGCTGTGTATCAAGCTGCATTGCCGTGAATAAAGTTTAAGTTTAGATAAATTACATAAATCATATTACATTTTTAATGTTCATTTTGTCCGCCTTTAGTATAAAGTTAATCTTTTTAGTTAAGCCAATTATTTAAATATAAAATTAGATTAATTCACTGTAGAGACAGTAGCTAATTTTATACTTTTTCATTGAAACCACAATATATATTGTCAGTTTCGGTCAGTTAAGTTGCCAACGGCTTTATGGGAGGAGAAAATCATTATGACTTCTTTCTCTCAGCGTGAGGCGAGTGGGAGTATCAGACTCTTACTGGCTAAGCCCCACTGTTCCTTCTCCTGCTCTAAGTCGAGGCTACGGTGCCTAATTTGTGCTTACCACGCGACCCTAGCAGGTCTTTGCATTGAAAAATTATTGTTGCTTACCTGCAAACTATATAAAATAAATAATCTTTTAATAGCTTACTATTTGATAATCTGCTTACCTTACAACGCCTTGAACATCGTCATACTGAGCAGGGAAACATTTAGCTCCATTGATCTCCACACTATTCGAAATCTGCTGTTCTAAAATACTGATCCTTATTTTCCTGATGAATTTAGGAGTTGATATCCCATCGTGGTTTCTTGATAGTGTCTTGAGTTGTATCAATGAGTCTAGGAATGTTACCCATACACCATTCCATTGGACAAAAGCCTTCTTATGGTCCAGAGCTGAAGATTGAATCGACTGGAATTGGTCTCTAAAATGATAAATATTGACTTTGTTATTGAATGCCTGTTGTGGTGGCACTTACTCGTATTGTCTCTTTATGACGAAAATGGCTATGTTTTATTGTTTTTTGAACAAGGCAATGTATTTTGGTCTTAGTTTATTGGTGGTACTCTTACGTTCAAATAATTTTAAAATCATTTTTGAACAAAAAAATACTATAATAAATATTCACTACCAGTGAAACCAGTAGAAGTTGCAATAAACTAAATTAATAAGAAGTATAAATTAACATGCAATCTCGTGCCGAAGGAAGATGCACTTAATGTTAAAAACATTTAAACGAGAAAATAAATGAACCAGCTAAGGAAACTTTTTGAAGAGTTCATTGGATAAGAATTATATTGTTTACCTTATTTTCTTAAATTTTATGATGCAAGTTTAACGTAGAGTAAAACGAACGACAGAATAATGGTTCAGACGTAAATTGGCTACTATTTTATGTTGATGTCGGGATTAAGGCGGAATGAAGTTGGAAGATTACCTGATAAAGAGAACAACAGGAGGGCAAACTAAGTTTGTGTTTGTTGAAGAGAATATTTTTTGGTTGAATATAAATTGAATTTGACTTCTCTAAGACCATTTTCAACAATATTTTCGACCGGAGTGTCTGTGTTAAGTACTAGAATCTCCATGACCTTGATATATCCAGTCCAAACAACGCTATTATATACGTACTTGTATGAATATCCTCTTGATTTAAATATATTGTACACGTCATCAGAATTTAATATGATTTCCTCTTCCTCATTGTCCATGCTTTCTGGGTCTTGGTTATATTTGACAACTTTGACACCACTTACAATACCGCTGGCTATGCGAATATCGTTTTGACTAACCTGAAATAAAAGAAAAATGTAAAATTATTTTTCTACCAATTATTTATTTTCAACTCGAGGACTATCTCGGCTGAAGGCGCTTTATACCTATATATGATACATATATAATATTATAAATCTTTCATGAACAAACATGTGTGTTACATACGAGTACAAGGCCTTTTCGTATATTAATGTAGAATTTAATAACATTAGTTCCAATTTGTAATAAAAACTGTATATTCTAGTTAGTTTGGAGTAGATATGTGTAGATTTTATTCAACATTATATTATCTTCTAAATCCACGTAGAATATAGACTCTTTTAACCTGGGATGGGTATAGGTAGGTCGGCGGTAGGTATAGGTCGGCAAACGAGCAGACGGATTACCTGATGGTAAGCAATCAGCGCCACCCATGGACACTCGCAACGGAGGAGTTACGAGTGCGTTGCCGACCTTTTACGGATTTAGGGATTTAGGAGGGATTGGGGGAGTGGAAGGATGGGGCCTCCGGTAACCTCACTCACACGGCGAAACACAACGCTGTGGTTATTTCACGCCGGTTTTCTGTGAGGCCGTGGTATCACTCCGGTCGAGCCGACCCATTCGTGCCGAAGCATGGCTCTCCCACACTTATTATATAATTTTTTTTTATATAATAAGGTGGTATTTGTTATAGAAATATTCATTCAAATCAGTCAAACAGTTTTGTGACTGTTCAATTCAAATACATAAACAAAGAATCGAATCACTCCTCTTTATAAAATGAGAACTCTCTATAGAAAAAAGAATTGCTGCATGCATTGCTATGCGATATTCAAGAGCACAGCTATCCTATCTCTTAGTATGATTTTTCCCTCAGGACAAAATTTTATGAAAGAAAACTTTAGAATAGTTGAGGAGAAAGTCGGAAAATTTCAACCTTTCTGTTGCTAACAAAACAAATCAATGACATTTTGGCAGTTGGACGGCTATGGAAAGCAAAAAAATATTTTTCTTTCGAATTATATTATTCTTTCGAATTTCAAGTTTCGTTAAAAATTGCAGATGGAAAATTTTACTTTCTAATTAAACTATCACAGATGGCTGATAAATAAATTAATATCAAGGCATAATTACTCACCTAAAAGGTCAAATTAATTTTCGACGTTTCTGATACAGATATTAGTGGCTATATTGCTTTGAAGTTACTGAAATTAATTAAAATTTTACCGCAATGAAGGTAACAGGCAACGCTGTTTTGATTTTATTTCAGGTTTCATTAAAGATATTTTATTACCTAAATATTGTTCGCTTGATTCTTTTCTGATTGACTTATGTTTTGTGTACCTATTAAGTCTACCGAACTAAAAGTTTATTTGTTTGTTTATATTATTGCCCACATACATAAAAACACGTTCGATAGTATATGACGACGCGTCGATTATTTGAATTGAATTTTGAAGGTTTTATCACAATTCACAACGTCAAACAGACAGTTTTGCGTGCACATTATGGTTGAGGGTGAGCGCTGTGACTGTCATCTGAGACGGACCGCCGACGTCCGTTATTCAGTCTGATTATAAAATCCTACGCCCTGCGATGGACTGTGAAGACGATGATCGGGATGTTGATGTTTGTACCAACACCCCTTGCCCTTAATATAAAATACCGTTCTGATTACAAAGGGTGGTGTTATCTCACAAGACGATTTCTTCCAGACAACCTTTGGATGGAAATGTATAAAATAAACTTGGGCAAGTTTCGAGTCAGAAAATGCAATTTGGGCTATTTACCGTGGGGTTTTGGGTTTAAGCAAAGTTTTGATAGTAACAGTAGCTTGTTAGTCTTGAAAATTCAATGAAATAAAAAGAAATATTTTGTTAGTTTTCTTACAGAATCAAATACTTTTGACGACCAATTTTAAATACCGTGTGACGTCATAATTTAATTAAATTGTGATACTGAGCAATGACCGACAAAACAAAAACATATAGAAACTAGTTAGGTTTTTATTAATTTCCATATCATATGCTCACCTAAATTAACATGTCCATTCCATTCCATTAGGTGTCAATGATTCACAGCATAACTGGCTGATAGTGGATTAGTATAACAGTTACCACTTTCAACCACTCTAAAGAATGAAAAACAGTGCGGCACTGTAAATAGTTCTTACCTCAAATTTATTACTGCCTCTATTAATAGCTATGGTGAGGCGTAAAGGCGTCTCCGGTTTTATGATTATTTCGCTATGGAAGTGTATATCACGGAATACAACCGGCTGGTCTCTGTAGCTTACACCAATATGCATAGCCAGTGTTTCCCATACGAGAACTAGGACTGCTGATTCAGGCAACACGTTGGCACCTATAAAATAAAATGCAATTTAAACTGGCGTGCAATTCCCGTAGAATGTAAAAGTGTTCCGTTTTACTCTTTTCTAGAAACCGCCTATTGACTGCATTGCGGTGGACTTTTTTTTTTTTTTTTTTTTTTTTGTCAGGGGAAAATCATCCAATTACTTCTCCCGCCCAGGGTAAGGCGAGAGAGAGTGTCAGACTCTTACTGACTAAAAACCCCCCCGTTCCTTCTCCTGCTCTGGGCCGAGGTCGCGGTGCCTCATTGCGCTTACCCCGCAGCCCCGGCTAAACATCAGCCCTTTAGGGCCCCGACTGTGGTGGTCTATTGGCTCTTTGAGGCGCGCGCGGAACGCTACGCGCCGTACGCTCGGGTCCGGTTCTGGTCGGGCGGCGAGCTACCCTTACTCGCCGTCCGCAGACCCGCGCTTACGGTGGCCCGAGATCATCTCTCGATCCCCGACGTCCGGAATGTCGCCTTCTGCGGCAGCTGGGGCGCGAGGAGGATAGTTCCCTCACGCGCTCCGCCTCCTCCTTTGCGAGCATAACTGCTTCGCAGAAGGAGGAGATAGCTTCCCAGTTCCTCTCACGCTGCACCATGCCCTCGATTAAGGCCGGGCGCGAGAGGTCGCCGCCGCCGATCACTTCCCTGAGAACACGGCGGTGCTCAGCCCAAGCAGGGCACTCCGCCACCGTATGCTCCACCGTGTCCTCCAGGTGATCCGCACAATGACGACACTCGGGCGTTTCCTCCCGCTGGATCCGAAACAGGAACCTACCAAAGCTGCTGTGCCCGGTAAGCACCTGCGTCAGGCGGAAGGTGAGGACGCCGTGGCGTCTCTCAAGCCACTCCTCAAAGAGGGGTCTTACCGCTGCTATAGTAGCGTGCATGCGGTAATCATTTTGTTGTTGAGGCGATGATAAAGTAAATAACTTAATTTAGGCGTTTCTGTAGTTATTGATGCAATGGCTGGGCGATCAACCCATAGCTATTTTTTTTGCAGTTGCATAATCGTCCCTTGACGTCTCCCACCCTGGATTGAGCGAGTGTTAGACTCATACTTAACACCATCCCGTTCCTTCTCCTGTTCCGAGCAGTGTCGTGATACATTATTGCGTTTACACATGTTGCTAGTATGATTCGCGTACGGAAAAATATTTCTTGTGATTCACAAATCGTCGTGGCAAGTCGGAGTATAGAGCGGTGATAATTATGTTTTAATCACGTGAAATAATGGTATTTATTTCTTACCATTTCTCAAATGCCCTTCTAAGAATTTAAAGTCGTCATCATGTGTGGATAAGACCACATTACGCTCCATTGCCGTTCGTACTTCATCCTTCTCTAAGAACGACAGCTGTGGCCTGTGAATAGAAAAAAAATATTTTTTTCTCTTTATTCATTTTAATTAAATGAGACATCATCTGTTCGTTTCCTCTGTGCAAAAGAGGATGAATTGTTCATTTGTGATTTATAAGTGTGAAAGAATCATGCTTCGGCGTGAATAAACTGGCTGGATCGGACTGATACCATGTTATCACAGCCTACCGGCGTAAAACAACACTTACATTGTACTTCGCTGTGTAAGTGAGGTCACCGGAGACCTATTTGGCTTTTCAAAAGAACTTATTTCTGGTTTAGTCCGAATAAATAACTTTGACTTTGAATTTGACTTTCACCCTCCTCTCTTCAGTCCCCAAATACCCAAACCTTAAATCCCTAAACATCCACAAAAGGCTGGCAACGCACTTGTAATAACCCTTCTGGAGTTACGAGTGTACATGAGCGGAGCCGATTGGTTGCGGTAATCCTTCCTTATGATAAAAGCACGCAACTGATATCATTAATATCCATTGTAATGTACACCACTATTCTTAATACCATTTCATTATAACATATAAAACGTCCTTGTGTTACAAACGAAGCGTGTAAGCGAATACTTAGCATGGAGAATTAGGGACGTACGCGACAGAATGTCAAGAGGATGACATGACATCATGATAATTAAACCATAAACCGTTTATGAGCGTGTAAAGCAAAGCTCAGGTTACACGGAAATTCATACTCGACGGAATTTAATATTAATTGTGGAAGAAGTGTAATGAGGCAGCGAATGGCGTAAGAAGTATTTAATTATGTAAGTAATAATGTTTGATTGCGAGTTACTTTCGTTGGAGATTGGTATTGTTGGTTTATTCCGTGCTTTGCTTAATAGTCGATTGGTTTTTTTTTATACTTTAGAAATTTAAATTTTTTGAAGGAAGGATCGGGCCTTCGGTAATTTAACTCTTTTTTTATTGATTATATGTTCGCGCTTGACCGCTATCTCACCTGATGGAAAGCGATGATGCGGTCGACGATGGAGCGCGCTTACCTAAAAGTAACCTATTCACTCTTGACTTAAAGATACACTCACACGGCGACAGTTTGTACCATGCTGATTTCGGAAAATGTTTCAATATTTAATTTATTTCTGTTTTCACATTTTTGACCTTCCCATCCAACGATTGCCAAAATTAATGAGCGAATTTCAACCTTAACACAGAAGCAACTCAAAATTATATCTTACCAATCTTCACTATGTTCCCATTCCACAAAGTGGGACAAAAGAGGCGTTTCTGTAGAAACTGGGAATTCTATCTTAGGATACAAAACATCCACCCTGGGATTAACACCGGCTTCGTACAATCTGAAATTAAATAGCAATATTACGAACAAGGTTGTTCCAAAAGTCTAAAGGACGTTTATTCTAGAATTTAGTAACAATCGAGATACTTATATGCCTACAGAAGAATATTGTTGCCATTGAAATACAATCTGTTTCTAGGAATTTTCCTTACACAATTATTGAGCAATGTTTTGGAATATTGAAAGTAAGGCTTACGATAATAGATTTAGTTTGACTGCCTACGTTATGTTTACGAAAAATATTCTTTCAGCTGAGAAATTGCAGCTTAATCTGGAAACAATTTGCCAAATGCTTATATTATTGTTGGCACTTATATCTGATTTGAACTTTCGATGGTTTAAGTGACATTTTTAGGCTTCCAAACAACATACCTTACTTACGTTTGAAAAAATAGTGTATAATAAAAAAAAAAAAACACACACACACACACGCACAACGTCTTCCTTTAACAAGCTTGAATTAGCTTACATTATATTTATGTATGTATGTAAATATGTATGAATGTATGTATGTATGTATGTATATAATGTCTTTAATGTGTTGAATTTCGGAACTATGACCCAACTGATTTCCAAATATATTATAATTTTTATTTTATTTATCTAAATATAATACTTACTTTCCAATGGCTTCCAGTAAAAACTTTACACCATTAGCATTGCCCCGTCTAGTAAGAGGTATGTGCGTGCATTCTTTATGCGATCTCTTTAGAATGGCTTGGAGTAGACCGTGGGGTGCTATTTCTACGACTATAGCGTTATCCGGTATCATCTTTGAGCTTTCTTCGAACAGTACTGGTTTCTGTTGAAATAATAAAGTTGGTATGATGTTCTTCTGGTTATAATACATAATAAGATAATAATATGTAGTAAGATAATAAAAAAAATACTCAAAACAGCCAGGTTCGGGGCAAGTGCCTCGGCTTGGAGTTGAGTAGAAACGGGGAGGTTTTTGTTGAAAAAGTCTAATACTTCCTTTTGTTTTAATAGGGGCAACAGAAGTCATTTGATGATTAGCCTCCACAAAAAAGCTAGTATTGTGCTAAATTATAGGGTTTTTAATGACGCCGAATAACAAGTGTGGAAGAGACAAGCTTCAACACGAATAGTTCGGCTCGACCGGAGTGATACTACGGCCTCACAGACAACCGGCGCGAAACAACGACAGCGTTGTGCTTCGCCGTTAGAGTGAGGTTACTGGAGGCTCAGTCGGTCTCTTCCCCCAATCCCTCCCCAATCCTTAAATATCCGAGACCCTAATCCACAAAAGGCAGGCAACACACTCGTAACTCCGTTGCAGGTGTCCATGGGCGGCACCGATTGCTTACCATCAGGTAATTCGTCTGCTCGTTAACCGACGTATTTTATAAAAAAGCCATGTCTTCTGTAAGCTATGGTCGGTTCAGCAAATAAGCGATGGTTATTGCCTCCAACTGAATATATATATATTATTATATAAATTAAATAATAATATTTAAACAGTCTGTATAACCTAGCTAGTTTGACATAAATTATCGTGTAACCAATGGGAGAAGGCGCTGATTCCTGACATACAGGTTATTTCCTAGTTTGGGTTTCAGAGGCTTCATATGTTTTTGTAACCTCATATTATGTCAATAAAGAATTTATTTATTTATTTATTTATATAAACTTTGTAGTGTATACGCCCATGTATGCATGTGTAGAAATGTATAAATTTTAGGCTAGTTAAATATTAATTGATAGTTTATAACTTAATTGACCAATTCGTATTAATTGCTAATGAAAATTGTAACAATAACTAGGTTGAATTTAGTTATAAAATAAATACAACCTCGTTGTTGTTAGCTTTATCTTATTGGCCTAATTTTAAAATATCGCTTGGTTAGTCGCCATTTTTGAGTTTTCACTGTTTAGTGGCTCAGTGAATTCTAACAGAAGAATACAAATACATACTTTTTTATTTGTATTTAACCTATCTATAAGTGATACGAGGTCTCTTCTCATACGGAGAAGGTTTAATCAACACGTTTGTTCAAGGTGGATAAGTGATCTCAAACATATTTACTAGTTTTTCCGTCACTGTTTGTGTGTGGTGTCTTAAAAAGTCATAAGGTACAAGTTTGTAGTAATATTTATTTATTTATTAAAACTTCATGCACAATGGGTACATAGGCGGACTTAATGCCTTAGGCATTTTCTACCAGTCGAGCCTTGGGTGATGCAGAGATGAGCCAATGGTCGGTGCAAGAAGCAAGCAAACAGACTTAAATTTAAATGAGTGAAGACGAGATAGATACATATATATGTGCAAATATTTACATACAAGTTACAATACAATAGATATATAAACTAAGTACTCAAGTTACATAATATATTTATAAATAACATATACATATATAATATATACTTATACTTATTATAATATACTATATATATGGTGGTCACGATTCAGCCAAACCTTTTAGCAAGAGCTCACGAACCTTTTGTTTGAAAGTCAAACGACTAGACACCATCCTGATATCAGGGGGGAGCGCATTCCACAGCAAGACAGACTGAACGAAAAAGGAGGAGTGGAGAAAATCAGTACGATGAGTGGGACATTGAAGAAGACGGTTATGGGAAGAACGAAGGTTCTTGCTGTGGTTTGCGCACATGTATTGAAAGTAAGACGATAGATAGCTAGGCGAAAAAGGTGAGGTAAGGAAAGAGAACAGAGTGGTTAGCGCCCTTTGCTCCCTGCGCTGGCGTATGGGCAACCACTTTAATTGCAACCGATGTGCAGAAACATGATCATATTTACGCAGGTTGAAAACGAATCGAATGCAGTTGTTAAGAAGTCGGTCAAGTTTATTGAGTAGATCAGCATTCAGGTCGTAGTAACAAACATCAGCATAATCAATAATAGGAAAAACCAAGGCCTGCACCAGCATCGCTTTCGTAGAACACGGAAGCAAATTCTTTAGTCGATACAGTGTCCGTAAGGATCCAGTGACCCTCTTACATACGCTCGCAACTTGTGCATGCCACTTCAAGGTACAGTCAATATACAGGCCCAGATCCTTTACCTCATTGCTTAGCGGGATAGTGGCACTATCAAAGAGAATGTTTGGTAAATTTTCTCGGTTCATTCCGCTTAGCGTACGAGAGCTACCTATAATGATTGCTTGGCATTTTAAAGGATTCACCGCTATGCCAAACCGTTCAGACCAGTTCTTAATAGCAGTCAAGTCGCTATTGATCGTCATAATTGCTTCAGAGAGCCCATCAATATTAGCTGGACAGTACAACTGCAAGTCATCGGCATACAGATGGTACGCACACTGAAGTTCAGAAGTTATTAAATTAATGAAGATGGAAAATAAAAGAGGAGATAATATACCGCCTTGAGGAACGCCAGTTTTCAATTTGCACCAATTAGATGATAACTCATCAAGCTTAACACTAGAAAGACCAGTGTGGTCAAATGACCCCAATGAAATTGTTGATCAATCATATTATCAAAACCATAGCACTGAACTCATTGTCGTTTTATGACTTTTAATATTTTGTCATTGTTTACATTATTCTGATATGGGTATACCGATAGCAAGATAAATACTAATTAAAAAAATATCACCTACCTAGAGAGACCGCAGTGGTCATTTGACACCACAGCGTGCTTGCTAGTTACATTTCGTGGAATGTAACTGTGTTATGGGTAGTTGAAATAAAATATTTTTTTCTTGTTTTATTCTTGTCAAAACAGAGACATATCATGGCTCGCCATAATAATATGATGCCTCATTATCACTCTTTGCCCTTCAAAAATACTGGAAGTGTCGCAAAATTTACCGGACGATCAATCAGACTGTGAATTGACTGAAGAAGTGAGGCACATTTTGCATTTAGATTCAGAAAGTCAAGCAAGTGTTTACAATATTACACAAAATAGTGATTCTTTTAGGGATGGTGATCCCACTCATATTCCGATTCTGATAGTAAGTGTATATTATTTTCTATATTGATATAAATAAAATAATATTTTTTTACATTGAGAGAAAAGGAAACATTTTATTAACGTTTACTCCACTGTTTCAGATTCAGTAACTCTCGACTTTACGTAGTGTAAAACCTAAGAAGAGGTCGAGGTCGAGGTCGAGGTCCCATATGTTTAGAAAGAAATGAAAGCCGTCGACAAAATCAAAGTTCAGGCGAGTGGGTCGTATTGCGACCAATGGACCCACTGGTCGAAATGTAACTACTGATATTTTTTTCACCAGTGTAAATATGGCAAAAAACCTAATTGTAACACAGGACAAGTGTCTTATAATAATATTTTGAATTTGACAGCAAATGATTCCTGGATTTTGTACAAAAAACTATCAAGAAAAAAATCAGTAGAAAAAAGTTCATTTTTGACTTGGCCAGGGAGTTAGTCGGCCAAGATTCCCACTCCCTGATGACACCATCTACTTCACAGCCTGATAATAGCATACCCGCTTGCAAAAATGCAGAAATAAAACTAATAAATCGTAAAAATCGTATAAATTCGTTGTAAAAAGCTTTTGTGTGGCTCTTGTAATGTAAACAATTAAATGTCAAAAATGTGCCTAATATTTTTATGTTTTTATTACGTAATTTATGTTTAATTACTATTAAGTTCTTTTATTTACTTTAAGATGTTAATTAATAAAACTTAAAACCATAATACATGAATAAAACATTATAACCCATGAATGGGTCATTTGACCCCACCTGGTCTTTATAGGTAGTTCAAAATTTCGGTCTTCCTAGTGTTAATCGACTGCTGACGGTCCTGAAGATAGGAAGAGAACCATTCCAACGATTTGCCAGAGATCGCAAGATGGGATAAGATTGCTAAAAGGATTTCGTGACTGACCATATTGAAGGCATTCGAAAAATCAACCAAAACCAGAATGGTGGCCTTGGTATCCTCAAGAGCCGCTCTAATATCGCCAGTCACTTTGAGGAGGGCGGAAACCGTGCTGTGCCCAGGTCTAAATCCAGATTGTAGAGGGCTGATAAGTCCATTCGTGTAATCATCATCTTGAAAGCTGTTTATGAACACAGGCTTCGAGGACTTTGGATAGGAACGGGAGTATAGATATAGGCCGAAAATGAGAGGGAATAGTAGGAACAGTGACTTTCGGAAGAGGACGGACATAGGCATTACGCCACAGGGATGGGAAGGTTCCGGAAAAGAGGGAATAATTTATGATATGGGTTAAAGCTGGCAGGAGGTGATCCAAGATATTAATGATCATATGACGAGAAATGTTATCACAACCTACAGCTTTGGACTTGATGGATAGGATTATCTTACGGACCTCCGACAATTCAACTGGTACGAAGAGAAAAGGATGAGAGATGTTGGGGCGCATCAGATCAGAAATAAAGTCCACGGTGCGTTTTTTGACTAGACGATCCATAAGAGGGACTGTGAAGAAATGATTGTTTAGATCATCTAAGTCAATTGAATTGGGAAGACCTGAATATTGCGCTTTGCCGACACCTAGAGTTCGAAGGAATTTCCAGATATCAGCAGAAGAGGAATTAGAGATATTTTCGAGAACATGGCGGCGCTTAGCGTTACGCACCATCTGGTTACACCTATTTCTTGCAATCTTATAGGCTGTCCAATTTTCTTCTGTACGGTCCCTTCGATGAACGCGAAAAGCACGGTCTCGGCGCCGCATTGCCATCCTAATGCCTCGCGTCATCCATGGAGCAGGCGGCCGTTTTATTTTCACTTGCCTGAAGGGAGCGTGATGGTCATACAGATTAGTCACAGCTGTATTAAAAACTGCAACTTTGTCGTCGATTCCAGTAGCCTCCATTAGAGGCTCCCAGTCTATCAATGACGCATCTTTTTGCAATTTTGCTTCATCCACCCGCGCAAAACAACGCCTATACAAAACCTTAGGTTTCACCCTGGGCGGTTTTAGGATGTAGGATAGGAAGATCAGGTCATGGTGAGAAAATCCTGGAGCGTCACGTTGACCATGACAAGATACAAAGGCAGGATTCGAGGTAAGGATTAAATCTAGCCAAGAATCATCGCCCACGGTGTTGTGGTGAGTGGGATTAAGAGCCAATACATGGAAGTTAGCAGATTCAACAATTTGAAGGAGTTTACGGGACCGATAGGATTCATGGGATAGGAGATTGGTGTTAAAATCGCCCATGATTACGTGATGTGTGTACTCAGAACCCAGAGATTCAAGAACCGATTCGAAGTCGGTGAAATAATCTACAGTAGGAGGGCAGTAAACAACTCCCAATACAATTTTACCCCCTTGGCCAGAGACTTCGAGGAAAAGGTACTCCGCAGGGCAGCCAGAAGCTGAAGTGAAGAGCACCTTATACATAAACTCGCTGCGCAGATATATACCCACACCACCCCCCCTCCTAACAGTCCGGTCATTCCTTATAAGGACGTAACCTGGGAGGGCATACGTTGTGGACGGCAGTGCTGGTTTTAGCCAAGTTTCGGATATCAGGATGGCATGGACATTACTGTCTTTGAAGGTATCAAATAGTTCGCTGTGATGGCTCGGAATGCTTTGTGCATTTATATGGCAGACGTTCAACAAACGTTTATTTTTATTGATAAAAGTGTTGTGAATAAAGTCAGTCAAAGATTCACTAATCGAGCAAAAGCTGTCGTTTTCTAAAGATGAATTGGCTGTTAAAAAGGAATCATTATCAGACATGGACAAACAATAAAAAAAATATATAGATACGGTATGTATAATAAATACAAATAGTTATTTTATACTAAGGATGCCTAAATAATTATGTGTTATGGAAAATTGTTTGCTTGACAAAAAATTGTTAGTACAACCCTGCACCACCCACCAGCCGACATCAACAAAGAGAAAAAAAAAACAAAACATTACATGACGATATTAAAAGTCAAAATAAATCAAAAAAAAACAAAACAAATGAAAAATATCAATCAACATAAACACACTAAAAGTATGCCTCGGTTGCATCAAAACCTACTCCTTTATTACTTTACTCTTTGATCAAAACGCACAAAACAACTAATAAAACACCAAACAAAAATAAAGTAAACTGCAATCGGCACTGACTAGCAAGAGACATTATTCTGACAACAATCATTTAAATAACAGTAAAATTTGCATACAAAACACAATAATTATTAATAACACAAAACTTAAAAAAAAAAGTAAAAAAAATAAAAATCAATAAATTCAAATTTCAACAGACTTAACAAAACGCAAAAAAATGTAATAGAAAACCGGCTGTTTTGTTATAAACAAACGTCAAGTGTCAATCTGTCATCAATAGCAAAAATTAAACGTGACAGTTAAATTAATTAGATCAGTAAAAATAAAATAATAAGTTGTAAATGACGGTTAATGAACGATTTAAATAACTTACAAAAAGTAAAAACAAAGAGAAGTTGTGAGATATCAAAATATAAACAGGAGGTAAAACAAAATAAGTGAACTTTAAAAGATACAACTACCCGAGACAAGAGAAACAAATTGATAAATTATGGACAAAGACAAAGGTTACAAACATATTTTAATGGAAATATTTAAAATTAATGCCAAGTGATGGGACAAACAGACTGGTAAGTACATAAGACAAATATTGAGTGGTGTTTGTATTTGTAGTGCGTCTAATACTGCTAGATGGAAGGTACTTATCTGCGTGTACTTTTCAGGTTCCCGACAGTCTCCTCTGCACTCCGTTTGGCACTGGACGAAGACGCACCTTGCATCCTCGGGTACTTGGTCAGAATAGGATTCAGCTCTACCGTTGAAGTCACTTTGTACCTGCTTCCATCAGGTGCTTTTATGTGTATGATGCCATCCTGAGTCCAGCAAGACCGCAAACCGAAATGCTGACGCGCTTTCAAGAAAGCATTCTGCCTTTCCTTTGTTAAAAACTCCCTGATGGCAATCTTGGTACCCTTCAATTTGGTTTTGGCCCGCCAAACTGACAATTTATTGTCCACGCTTGCGAACCTGATAAGAAGGGGCCGGTGATGGTCAGCACTTGTCTGTCCCAATCTGTGACAGGCTTTTATGGAAGTTGTGGTGAAATTAAGGCCCAGTTTAGTGTTGATAACATCTAACACAAGTCCCGTACAATCCTCACCCTCTTTTTCAGGTATACCCTGCATGATCAGTGCTTTACGTCGACTCCTTGTCTCCATGTCATCTATCTGCCGGGAGCACTCGGTGATCTGACGACGCAGAAGCCCCAGCAAGCTGAACATTAGTTCCCTGAATGTTCGGAACTCCTCAGCCACTTTAGCGATGGTATCCTTGGCGGGACCGGCTGCCTGGATCTGAGCCTGAACTGCTTCCATCTTCTGCATGAACATCGCCTCCAAGGGTGTGAACCTCTCTTCCAAGGATTTCTGGTTGGAGAGGACTTCAGCAATTTGTGTCATAGTGAAGTGTGTGTGCAGAATGACTTTTAACTTTTAAATAAAATATGTTGATGTGCTGGCAGGTGGTGTGCCAAGTTGGTTTTATTTATTCAGGGTTGTGACAAACACTATTACTCTGTGACTAGGTATTTGTGAAGAACTTTTAAAATTAAAAACGTTATGAATTTAAATATTCGAAAGTCAACAAAAAATACGTGCTCTCTCTTGCAAATCCAACCCGCGAATCTAATAATATTGTGTGTAGGAAGCGGGCGTTTTAATCTCTCGTCAATCACAACATTTCATTACGATATTATTTTTGACTACTATAATAATAAATAATAATATAATAATAATAAATAATTTATTTCAGAATTGCTTCCATAATTTGTTAGTAACAATGTTCTTAGCCTAAGTTAGTACCAGTATAATAAAAATGAAAACAAAGCAGAACAAAATCAATGAAAATATTTTAGGCACTTGCTTTCGCGTGTAAGCCTATACAGTGCGCTATTAGTACGGAATCCCACCGGCCTCCGCACGCGGCCAGGATGGCGCTGGGGCTGCCGCGCACCCGGGACAATAACGATGCACTTCGCTTGCGTATGACGGCGTAAAAGCCGTCCACGCGCGCCTCTGCGAACATACCACTGGCACTACAATACCGCGGCAGCCCCATCAGCACCCTGAACGCATTGTTGTATTGCACACGCAGAGCGTCGTATGTCCTCTGCGTGTATTTGGTCCACAAACTGCATGTGTAAAAGGTCTGACAGAAAGCTCTAAACAGTGTGACCTTCACTTGTTCAGTACACCGTGCGAATCTGCGAGCCAACATGTTACAGCGAACAGACAACGCCCTGCGTTCCCTCTCCACATCCATATCATCTTTCAGATCCTCAGTAACCCAGTGGCCCAGATACTTGAAGTGAGTGACTTGGTTCAATGGTGTACCATAGAGTAAGACGGGAGATACCTCTGTGACCTCTTTTTTAGGTGCTTTAAAAACCATAATCTCACTCTTTTTTACATTGTATCTGAGCCCATGGGCCTCCGCATACTCCTCACATATACTCAGCAGCCTGCGCAACGCGCCGATTGAGGGGCTGAGCAGCACCATATCATCCGCATAGCTTATATTATTTACGCAAATCCCATCTATGTGACACCCGATGCCGGTGCCGCTCAGCTCACCAATCAGGCGGTCTATGTATAGGTTAAATAACTTCGGTGAGGTCAACCCTCCCTGCCGCACCCCACACTCTAACCTATATTCCTCCGACCTACTAGCCGCCCACCTAACAGCATTATTCTGATTATTGTACCAATACTTAAATAATGATACAACTTCAGGGGGTAGACTAGTATCGTGATACAATTTAGTCCACAGGAGGTCGTACGAGACCAAGTCGAATGCCCTGGACAGGTCCAGGAAACATGCGTATACTGGCGTTTTACGAGCGGTGTAGTATTGCACAGTCTGCTTGAGGCACAAAATCGCACTTTCAGTGGATAGACCAGTTCGAAAACCAAACTGGCCATCGTGCAGTTTTATATGTTTCGTTAAATGGCCGTCAAGCAAACTGTCCAATACCTTCGCTATAACCGTGGCTAAGGAGATTGGCCTGTAGTTAGACCTGTCCGAGACATTTCCGGTTTTGTTTTTTACAATTGGGACAACAATGGTATACATGAGACTATCAGGCAGGTAGGAGTGGCTAATGCACAGATTAAACAACAGAGCCAGAACCCTAGGCAAGTGTACCCCAGCATATCGCAGGTGCTCTATGCTGAGGCCATCATGACCTGGAGATTTTCCTCTTTTCATATATTTGATAACTGTATCAATGTCCTTTGCAGTGAACTTTACATTCATATCTCCAGGTATGGCCCCAGCATCGGGCACCGACATCATCTCAGACCGCGCACGGTTCACAAACGGCTCAACTCTGAAATGCTGCCGAAATAATCCCGCGATGGCATCCGGCTCGCTTTCACCCTCAACGCTCACGGGCCGGCTAGGCTTTATATTCAATTTGTTGGTTGATTTCCAAAATTTTGAAAAGTTATATTTGGAATGGTGTCGTGCAATTATATCCATCTTAATTTGTTGTTGGTTATTTTGACACCCTTTCAATTTCATCTTAAAGAGACGCCTAGACTCAGTCATTTCATTATAAAGCCAACCCGAACTAGGTCTCCCATACAACAGCCAGTTCTTATAACATTGCCGAGCATTATCGTGAGCCTCCCTCACATGCTTATTCCAGCCTATAATGTACTTCCCCCGACCGGGGTTTGAAGTCGCACAACAGGAAGATTTCGCGCCTTCTGTCAATACACGTACTACATTTCTATACATATCCCTAATTAAAGCTTTATGCATATCACAGTTACACATTTTATCAGCACAAGTAGCAAATTCTGGTGGAAAATCGATAAGCCGCAAATTGGCGTGACAATAATTATGGTACATTTCAATTTGAGTAGGCTGAATAAAAGAAACTATGACAAAAGAAACTTTTTTAAGTACAGTTGAACAAAACTAAACTATCTATGGCATACATTGGATTCTCAAAAAAATCCTTTCATTAGTCAGATCTGAGATGCTTTGCTTAATAATTTTGACACTACTAACAACTTAATATTTATTTTCTACTGGCTACTCTCGCACGGTTTCACTGGTTTGTTGGCTCTATTTAATTGTAGCGTGATGTTTAGTAACATTTTAGCTATCTACTACTGAAGAATTTTAGCACTGATCAAAAGATTGTCTCCTTCATACAAACATTCAAATTTCAAAACTTCTTTTGTGTATTAGTATAGATTAGCTAAAAAAATCTTACCAGCAAATTGTTCGTGTGGTATTCAGCAGAGGAATATACAGCTTCAGGCTGATCCCATTTATCTTGAGGGACGGATGTGGATATCCATTTGCTGCTTCGCTTCTTCGGATTTTTGATAACTTCTCGTAAACGTTTGAGTAACTCAGGACCTTTGGTAGATCAGATTTTTAGTAACTACATAATTCGAAATCAATCATATTTTAAGCGACTTACTATACAGGGTGTAAAAAGACACTTCACGAAGCCGTTAACTACGCAGACTGCAGTTCTAACTAAGTAGCTTTACGCTAAAATGATCACTGGGAAACAACTTTTATTTTTAGGTATCAAAAAAAAAATATTGCGCGCAATGTCAAGCAAACGGGCTTCGTGTCTTTGTGTGCGTAGGTTCACAGCTTAGCATTAAAACGCTGTCGTAGGTCGATGTTTTACTTCGCAACAACAAAACAATTCTGTAAAATAAAAATCCTACTGAGATGCACGATGTTTTTTTGTCCGGGTCTGCATTTATTTATTACGTACATTACTGTTCGTAGCTTCAAATGCGTAATTTATTTAGAAAAATCGAAAATTCAGGTAATGTTTGTTTGGAAAAAAGTTTTGTAATAATACTTAGAATTCGATTGCGCAAAAAAAAAGAAAATTAAAAATGCATCTTTAACCTTCAATATCTCGAGAACCCGTGGAGTCCCAGCTATGGTCTTAAAGAAAAAAATGATCCAAATAATGGGTAGAATACGTGGCTTTCGGCTTCGTTAAGTGTCTTTTTACACCCTGTATGTTCTTTCAAATAAAGATTTCTAGGGCAAAGAACTTGGCACATAGATTTGATCTTGTGCTGAACGAAGACTTGTAAAAAGTTCGCAAACTTTATCCACATTGAACGTTATTATTTTAAGTGTCTTTCGTAGATTGCTCTTTGTATAGCATATTTGGTAATCTATCGTCAGATATTGATAAGCTAAATCTGTTTAATGAGTTACTTAATATAATACCTAATTTCAAGTTACAACGGGAGTCCAATTTGCTCTTAGTGCTCGCGTTGCGTAATACTAGTACAGATTTTCTCATTAAATTTACACGAGTAAGTCATAATTTTCAATAAATTCCTCTTAAAGTTCCAGTACTAGTTGATTTTATAAAATATTTAATGTTTTTATGTTTTATACAATTGGGAGATTTATTGTCTTACCACATTGCGCGATGTATCTTGAATGATAAGCTATGTTAGCACAGGGAACTTCTTTGGCAAAGATACCGCGTTTGGTCAGTTCTCCTACGAACTCTGTCATTTTTTCAGCTGGACCCGATATCGTTGTAGATTCGTGGCTATTGTGACAGGCTATGTCTATTTCTGGTGGGCATTGATTCACAATCTGTAGAAGAAGTATATCGTTACTACGGAGGTATGAAGGGCACAATACTTATAATATATTATTTTATGCACATTTTTTTCTTTATAAGTTCCCTGAAAACATGGTCGTCGCTTCAAATACAGTTCCAAAGCTACAATCATTTTAAATTGAAGATAGAATTTTGTTTATTCAAAAGTGGACTTTAAAATTAAAATAACTCACAGCTTGATATCCAACACCAACAGCAGCCATTGATCCCTTTATAAGATCAGTTTCTAAACAAACTTTCCCTCGGCAGTACGTAGCTAGAATCAATTCTTCAGCCGTGAATGTATCGTCATGATATGCACACGCCATTTCACCCAAACTGTGACCTAAGGATAAAAATTATTATTCCCGTATTATTTTCACATTATCATGTTTAAAAATATTTTGCTTTTTGCTAAAACTTGTGCTATAGGATTCTAATAATTATGACCTTACTCATAAAGACACAAACCTAATATTTTTGAAGATATTTCACTTTATCAACTGGCACTAATTCCCACCATAAACTCGTTTTACAATAAAATTAAAGATTATTTAATTTTATAGACAGATTATAATAGTCTATCTCAATTCGTATTTAAATATTTCAAATTATTTTTCATTTAAAATAAGAAAATTCAATTATTTATAATAATTTGCAAAAATAATGTTCAAATTTTAAAGCTCAAATAATAAGTTCCCTACCTTCAAACTGTCATTTAAAAACTGTATTTTTGTATGAACCAATTAAATATAAAAATAAAAATAAGAAACATTGTATGGCAAAAGATTATTTATACAAACTTTAAGTATTTTTAAATTTAAATATTCTTTGGAACACCGTTATGCAGTGTTGCCTGTGCAAAAATAACGTATTGTATTTTAAGTTCGGCAGTGATATACGATCAGTAAATTGATTTTGATGGATCGTTATGGACTACCAGAATTCTGAAAATTTCGATTTTATTCAGCTACATAAATCAAACTTGTTGGCTTAAACAAATTATTCAATATTTTCTTTTTGACTGATGGCCAACTTTAACTTCGACGATGAAAAGTGTAGCTTTAAGAACGTGCTCTAATTTCTTATTTAATACCTGTCAATTTGACTAGTACATAGTATTTTAGTTTTTTCTTTGCTTTAATTACTACCTACCGGTTTAGGTCGTTAAATAAAGGTTCTTGTGTCTTTTTATATTTAAGAGATCGTATAAAATATATAAAAAGGTAAAACAATCTAGCTTAGAAGCTTATTTTTGTGAATTTAATTTTAACGTATTAAGAGTACATCTATCAATTTTATCCAATACCGTTTTGATAAAACCAGATATTAAGCCAGTGCCTTTAATAATCTGCATTCATATGCAAGCACTTCACAAACTAGACCTTTCAAAATACGAATCTTTTACTTAAATATTGCATTCATTTTCTTCCATTTAAAGCATTGCCCCATATCAGGATATTTCATATTTCATGATTGTGCTCTAAACAGCTACTATGTTGCAATATAGTATACAGTTTCATATTGTATTTATATGACACCAAAACCCAATCCAGAAGAACTAATTTTATATCACACAAAAAGTTATTTCGTATGAAAATGAAACCCCATAGCAAGTCAACGTATACGTTGAGTTGCTGCCCAACCAACGCGTCAACAGTACCACTACATAATATATTATAGAAAAAGAAAGCCGCTTTCTCTGTCCATATATCTCTATGTATGCATAAATCTTTAAAACTACAAAACGGATATTTAATAGATAGAATGATTGCAGAGGATTGTTATATGTATAATACTATCTTTTAAATAGTGGAGAATTTTAGTATCAGCATTACACCCGTGCAAAGCCGGAGTGGGTCGCTAGTACTTGATAATGAAACTCCCTCCTAATTCAAAATCATTAATGAACTCCTCTGAAATCAAGCCGTATCACTTAGCTATAATTAATTTTGACTCACCAATAATATAATCAGGAACAATCCCCATGGCTTTAATGACATCAGTCAGGCCAATTTGTATCGCACCGATGCCAACGAACGCGTTCAGAATATTGTCGAATATTCTATTGTCTGGTTCAGTCACAATCCGTATAAGATTCAGGCCCAATGGTTCCAAAACTTTATGACACCTGTGATTGTTAAAAATATTTTAATTGGTGTCAGTTGTAAAAAAAAAAAAGTTTGTATAAAAACGAGTGTGTATATAAGATTATTGCAATTGAAAAATGTGTTGCCAATATTGATAGTATTTATTATCGAATTCCAATTTCTAATCACAGATTTTGTGATGTATGTGGCCCGGAGGTCAAGGGATTCACTTCTCATGTATGATGTTGAGGGTTCGAAACGTAATTGAAATAACAATAAACGTAAATGTATTGTACCAATGTGACTTTTTCCGAGCTATGTGTACTTTCTATCATTATTTAGACACCTCTAACATACAGTAAAGGAAACCTGGACCTATAATATCTAACTACAAATTAAAAATTGCAAATCCGCTTTGAGCAACCGTGGTGATGATTAATGCTCAAACCTTCTCCGTGTGAAGAGAGGCCTTTGCTCTGCACTGGCCATTTACAGGCTGATGATCTAATTATGATGTATAGATATCTACGAACATTTAGCAACCATAAAACAATAAAAACTTTGTTAGAGACTTGACCTATACGATACATAAAGTTTATTAGGGAAAATCATTGAACAAATTTTCTCGAAGCAACATTGATTTATTCCACCAATTTTGGTGTAACAACGGCTATACAAAGATAAAGGCTGACACATCTTGTAATTTCCTTTCGTCCCAAGCTCACGGAAATTATTAAATATTACAAGTCTAAAATCTTTTGAAGAAGCAGTCAAGTATTTGACCTTAATCGTTGTTCAGAGGGCAACAAAACATTAACAACGCCAATCTATCATAATAAGTTGAAAGGGGCCCCTTAACTCCTAAAAATAGATGTTGTATCCAGAATTTGAGGCTTTATTTGTTTTTTGTATACATTTTGATAACAATAAAGGTATAAGTGATACTTGTCGTGTTCGGTTAATGACTTGGAGTGTTGAGAATATGTATGATTCGTTGTGACGATTTATGAAACAAACATAATGTCGAAATAATATTAATACTTTTTATGTACAATCTAAAAATATATAAAAACTTAAAAAGGATATTCATAAGAGGTAACGAAGGCTTGAAATAAATCTGATTACGGAAACTCAAGGACGTTTAACAATGACTTAATCTCATGATGACCTCTTCTTACACGGAGAAAGTTGGCATTAGCATTTATCACCACGCTTCCTCAAGTCGGATTGGTGATTTTAATCTTACAATTAAAAATTAGAAGTCAAGGTTTCCTCACGGTGTTTTCCTTCAACATATTGACATATGTTGGCGTCTCAATAATCATAGAAAGGATATATATATACGAGTAACTCGATTTTCTTGCAACCTCATCTATGAGAAGCCTTCTTAACTTCATAACTTATCTTCTTCTTAACTACCGGGTCACCACAACAGTATATTACTTAAACCATTCCAATTAATTTGGTTTTGTTTCGAAAACAAAAGAGAAAACTGACAAGTAAGGATAAAGTTTTTCGGATATGATTTCAACATAAAACACACAAAACATTTGTTAAACAATGTACTTCTATGATTATACAAAAATTTAGAAGCGCCTTTAAAACAAGAATCTCGTGAAAAAAAAACAAGCTTAGCCTAAAACGAAAAAATGGCTGCCAAGTATTTGTTTCTCTTTAATTCTTGTTAGTTTTTCATTAGGTGTGTTCAAAGCTTTTTTGCTCAAGAATTTCAGGATTGTTCTAAAAATGTGTAAAGTATTATTTGTTATTACTAAGTTTTATTTTTAAGTGTTCATGGTGTGTTTCGAGAGTATTGATAATTCTGTTTTTTTTTAATATGTTGCATTTAATTGATTTACTATAATTATTGGCGGATGAGGTTTACTTTAACTCTCTTTATTGATTTTTTATCCCCGAAAGAGTAAGTAGAGTTGAAAAAAATGGTATGCCACCTTGTAAATCCATATCTCAGTTATGTTATGAGAACCACGTATTAGTGGTTGAACTTATGTCTATTATTGTAAGTATGTGATATTACTGAGATATTTACAAAAAATCGATAAAATCTCGACTCGTCCATCGAGCTCGAACTCTTTAACAAAGTTTATACTGTGAACTATATTATAACCTTTTTTCTTTTTGAGTTACGGCTTAGAGTTTTGGCTTTATGGGGATGAATGTGTTGGTGATTTAGGGATTCAGAGGGATGGGAGAAAGGAAACGATTGAGCCTCCGGCAACGTCAATCACACGGCAAAGCACAACGCTGTGGTTGTTTCACGTCGTTTTCCTTAGCTCTCCCACACTTAATCAGCAGTAATAATAGGTAATATAGGTGGACTAAGCCATAGACTAGAAAGAACCTTAAGAAACTTTAGTTCTACTACATATAACATAAATAAAGTTTTATAATATTCAACTTTTAATACTTACTTATGAATAGCCTTGGCAAATATGGGTATTCTCATCAGATCAGCCCCCATTCCAGCCCATTGAGAACCCATGCCGCTGTACACAAACCATAGAGGGCGTTTCAAGCCTGGGTAGTAATCAGCACTTTCCGCTACGCTCACAGTTTCTTTATTCTCATTAGTATCTACAAAAAAGTATAATTAGTCTATTTATTGTAGAAAGTAAAAGTAGAAATAGTAATTATGTTGATTAATTTATCCTGATATATTTTTAAGATTTCCACGATATTTGAAAATAGTTTGCGTAAGTACAAAACACTTTGTGAATGTGTAGATCAAACGTGAATGAGGAACAATGTTTATTCATGATTGTTTAAAAAAATGAATTACCAAGACATTGCGTAATATTATATTGTATTAGAAATATTTATTAATTTTTACAAAATCAATCATAACTATTCTTATAGCAAAAGGACCGAGACCGGGATAGAATAGTTATGAAGATAGAAAATAGTAATTATGGCAGGGTATGAACATTAAGAATTATTTTAGACCATTAGTTAAATAATGGCAAAATATTAAATACACGTTTATTTTTTTATAATTCAGCCGTAACAATGCTTAAAAAAATTAATTAGTTATCTCACCACTCAGTATAAAATGTACTAAGTCACGTTATACGTTACACAATATCACTTCAAATGAATGTACCATTGAAGGTATTTGACTGATTACCATAAAAAAGATAAGATGTGTTCAATGGTTACATACAAACGGACATGATTCTCATAAAATAGACATCGTCCTTATTAGAAATGCAAGAATCAAAACACTCAATTCGCAATCAAATTCATAAAAGACATTTGAACGTTGCACAGAATAACTAATCATCTCAAAGTCATATTTGGCAGGCTTAGGTAATAGCAAACTCAGCCAGGCACACGCTTTGTGAAATTTGATTTCTCACCACGGCCTAATAAAAGTTAATTAAACGATCTTCAAGAAACCGACTCGTCCTCGAACTTAAATTTGTTCGTTGACATCTTATCAACACGTTTGGTACGTGTGAGTAAAGTCTTAGTTCTTACACGAAGTGAGAATGATTTTGCAAATCAAATACATAGTGATTTTACATGTTTAGAGACGATCTTTAAAATATTTATTAATGATTTGTTATTTTTTGATAGTTGAGCCAATATGTTTTTCGGCAAACGAGCAGGTTGATGGTAAGCAATCGGCGCCGCCCGTGGGCACTTACAATACCAGAGGAGTTACGAGTGCGTTATTGGTCTTTTGGGGATTAGGGTTTCAGATATTTAGGAATAAAGGAGGGACAGGAGGGTATCGATACTCACATGGTATCCCTACAAACACAACATTCTGGTTGTTTTACGCTGGTTTTCTGTATGGCAGTGGTATCACTCAGGTTTTGCCGATACATTCTAATTGCCGAAGCTTGGCTAAGCTCAATATGGTTATGGCTCAACATAGCCCGAATCAAGCAAATTTATGTTAAAAACAATACATTTTTTGAAAATCAAAATCTATTAACATAACAATCAATGCCACTTTTTATTGTAATTTTATAAACCATGAATGGGTTCACCCATTCAAACCAGATATTTAGGCTTTGTGTAGACTATTTATTAAATACTTTATGTGAAGTTTGCACAAAATTGGTGCAGTGGTTTTTTTATTTATTACATAGCGAAGCACGCATAAATGAACGAAAGCTAGTATGTTTTAAAAAATGCATTTTACATAATGCTGAGTATATAATACTTTTTCTTGTTTTTTTTGGCCTAAAACCTTTCTTTTTCAGTAATTATACCACGATATGATACCACGGCCTCACAGAAGACCGGCGTGAAACAACCCCAGCGTTGTGTTTCGCCGTATGAGTGAGGTTACCGGAGGCCCAATCTTTCCCCGCCCTCAATCCCCCCTCAATCCCTAAATCTCCAAATCCCTAATCCCTAAAAGGTCGGAACGCACTCGTAACTCCTCCGTTGCGGGTGTCCATGGGCGGCGCTGACTGCTTACCATCAGGTAATTCGTCTGCTCGTTTGTCGACCAATTACATAAAAAAAAAAATACCAATGGACTAAAAAAATACAGATTTTTATGGAGTTCCTAACGAGCGAAAATTTTGTAAATGCTACTTACCGAGTACAGTGTATCCACGTCCAGTATGCCCAGGTATATCATATTCAAATATTTTATGGAGAAGGCCAATTTCTTCAGCATCTATTGGCTGACTCTTCAAAATGTCCAATATTTTTTGCACACACGTCTCCTCTCTACCAGATGCAAGAACAAGGCGAGGAATTCCACATTCATATCTCTGTAGATTCTGTTGACGAGATGGTACATATTATTATATTAAAGTTTTTATTTACATTGACGAGTGCACCTTCTAAGGGGAAGGCTTTTGGTTAACCTAATTAAAATATACACGACTAGCTACTCTCGCGCGATTTTACCCGCTGCTTAGCTCCATTAGATCGTAGCGTGATGTTTTATAGCCTATAGCATTCAGGAACAGTGCAGCTATCTATCAGTGAAAGAATTTTGGCAATCCAACCAGCGGTTCCAAAGATTACCCCCTACATACAAACTTACTAATTTTTCCTCTTTATAATTTTAGTATAGAAGTATAGATGTACACAGCAAAATCTTGGTAGTGAGAAACCCAGATGAACATTATATAGAAAATTTTTATGATTATTTATTTTTGATGTATCAAAATTACATTCTAACGTTCCCATAAACCAAATACTAACTCTTACCTTTTCTTTATACTGTCCCTTCAAAAGTACATGGAAATTAGCACCAGAGAAAGAAAAATTATTCATAGCAGTGAATCCTCTGTCAAAATTAACATTATCAGTCACAACTTGGATTCTTCCATCTTTTATTGCAGGAATATTGTCTTGAGGCTCGTTGTAAAGGAGGTTGGCTGGTAGCTTGCCTTGATGGTAGGCTAGACAGAGCTGAAAAATTCAAATAATCATTAACTAATGGAGTGCCAAATATCGAAAAACAATATTAAAGAAAAGAAAGTGACTATTGCTGGGGTTTCATTTTGTTATAACACTAAGAAGCAATATTGTGTAATTCAGTATCGGCCTTATAACAAAACATGGTTTTTATTCTGTCTAGTTTAAAATCACTGAGTCAGTTTTTACATTTTGAATTGAAGGTAGGTAAGAGTAATATTCAAAATTCAAAACCCGACTCAATGGTATAAACTTAGCCTAAAGATAATATAAAAATAGATTTGTTTTAACATAATAGCCACATAACACATAGCCACGACCTCTTAGTTATAATGTACAGGCATTTATTTTTGTAAACAAAAAGATTTAATCGTGCCCTTGTTTGGATTTAGTAGGCTCTGAAACAATTTGAAAAACATATTTTTATTTTCAAATTTATTAATGGGAGAAGTTTTTCTTGTGTGGGAAAATCCTCAAATGACTTCTGACGCTCATAAAGACGCGAGTGGGAGTGTCAGACTCTTACTGACTGAAAACCCGCCTTTCCTGCTCCTGTTCTATGTCGAGGCCGCACTGCCTCGTGCTTAAGACGCAACCCCGGGTGTGTCAATGAGCGAGGTGTATTACTCTTGCTGGCTTTAATCGACCCATCTCTTCTCCTGCTCCAGGATGTGTCAGCGTTACATTATTGTACTTAAACCGCAACCCCAGCTAAAGGTTGGAAGTACCTTAAGGTGTTTATTTAGCACCAGCAAGCGTGAAACCAAAAATAAACGATATGCAAAAGAGTAAAATCCAACCTTTCATAAAATTATTTTAACGCATACATGCATTGATTATGATAACGAATTTTCCTTTACCACATAATATTACTGCTCGCATGAATGCATAATAAAATATGAATTTTAAATGGTGTAGGTGTAAAATGTGTTTTTATAGAAAATGTTAATTCGTAGAATAATAGAACAGAACGTTGTGATTGTAATTATAAAGCTGAAGTATTGAATTAATTATTGATACATTTTAATAACACATGTAATAGTCTTGGTTGTGAACGATCAGACATTGAACTGTAATAATGAGGTATTATAAATAACTATTCCATATTTTGAATACATTTATTTATTTCGGAGAGAAACACATTTCTGAATGAATGATTAAAGAATAATATAATCTTTATAGGATACTTTAAAGATTTTTCAAGTTATAGATGATATAAAATACGAGGTTTTTTTTCTTTTAAATATGATTATAATGTAATACCACTATTTTTGTGCCGGCAATACGGGCGCTTGATTTTGCTTGAGTTAATCTCATACAATCCTATATCTACTCATAATTTGAAAAAGTTTGAAATACCAATGCTTTAATAATAGATTAGTCTTTATATAGGATAGTCTTTACCTTAGTAAGAGCGCATATTCCAGAAGCTGACTCACTATTTCCCATATTCGATTTCACACTTCCAACTTTTACCGGATTGTCTTTCGCAAAAATATTTCCAATAGCCCTCAGTTCATTTTCATCTGCTTTTGCTATAGCTGTAACAAAACTATCAATAATGAAATATCATTGCTGAACGCTTAATTCTAAAAGTTAAAAGTAAACTTAACTGAGACTACGAATAAGTGTACTTTTATCAATCATAGAAGTTAAAATATTTTGGCTATCGTCATTCATCCTACTAATACATATAATACATGTGAAAGTTTTAAAGTATGGGAGGTTGGATTTTGATTTCTCTTTCTCATTTAAATAAATTTGGTACAGTGGAATTATAGTCATAGTAGAAAATTTAGGCTACTTTAAACGTCGATAAAAAGTCAACAGTAAATGCCTAAATTAAACATAATTTTCAAAAACCCCATTCTACCATAGACTGCTAAAATGTACCACACATACGTGATAATAATTTTGCTTCCATTCATAACATACCTGTGGCATGAGCTTCAACATATTCAACGCTCTGAGGGTCCACATTAGTCTCTTTATAGAATTCATTAAGGAATTTCTCAATATCTTCAGTTTCTCGGTACGGTAAGAACTGTGCGTCCGGTCTCATTTTGTAGATGCCTTTTGCATGATATACTTGTGTGTAAATCCTATGTAAGGTAAAATGTAAATTATCAGATCATTTTCTAATTTATGTGACTACTGAAGCATTATTTATAATATAATATACCTATATATTGAGACTTCATGCAACGTACTATCTATTAAAGATAAATCTCCTAAATTATTATAGTATAGAAACTAAAACGTGTCAAAAGATTTTTATTGATGATAGAAAACAAAAAATTAAAATTAGTTAGTGTGAAAGAGAAACGCAATTACAAAATCGGAAAATTGCTCGTTTTTCGATATTTTTTTGTTCACATGCTCTTTTTCATACATTCCTACCTGTGTGCATCTTGGGCTTTTTGTAAAAAGATGACATTAATAGCATCCGCCCTTACGTAGCCATCCCCGTTCTTATCAAAGCATTTTGTCTTTCCATCTAAGCATAATAAGCCAGCTCTGCAACAAAAGAAAAAACATTTCATAATGGGTACCACAAGTACCTATATTGGGGCCAATTTTTTTATGAACTTAAAAATGTTAATTATATCATACATCTTACTTTCTTAAATTTGCGGCTAATGAAGGATGTAACCCAAAATTACATCCACCAATAATTGCAGCATCACACTCTCCAGATTTTATAGACTTGTAAGCTATTTCTAAACAGGCAGTAGAACCTGAACAGGCATAATCTAAACCATAAGATGGACCTTTACTGTCAATCCAGTAAGAGATGCGATTGGCCAACATTGCTTTGCTACATCTGAAATGAACAAAATTAAATGATAAGGGCCAAGTTATGAATTAATTAATGTTAGGAAACATTCGATAGCAGGGATTATTTTATGAAGATTTTTTAAATTAGACGATATGTTCTCGTATCTATTACTACAGTGATTAAATCTGAAGAAATAATGCAATCAAAACAGGATTAAGTATTTATAAAGCTTACAACCAATTAGCTTTGAGCAAACTCTTAAAACCTAGCGATGAGTTTATACTTACCCATTTATAATGAAGTCACTGCGCTTGTTTACATTGTACATTGATAGTGTACTATTGTCAGTAAAATTTACTCCTACAAATACTCCTACTCTTTTTCCTCTCAACGATTGTGGATTCGTACCTGCAAATATTTCAGTAAAGGGATGATCTCGAGAATAGAGAAGTCCTATTTGGTTTATACTTATTTCTTTTTATATCCTAAAATTGCATTACTTAACAAATAGGATGGTTGCTTCATACATTAGTTTTGATTGTAAAAAAAAATACAATAAAATTATTGTTATATTAGAAAACAAGCAAAAACCTGAATCGAAAATTGCTCCATATGCATGCTCCAGTAGTTTTCTTGCCATAGGTTCTAAAGCGCATGCTAAATGATAGCTGACACCAAAAAACTGAGCATCAAACTTGTCGGTGCCTGTAATCTTTCCCACGTGTTTGGGTACATCTGGATCATTTACATTCCATTTCGGTTCTTCTGTTACCATATCCACCTGTTCAATTATTTTACTAAAATCATTTTCTATACACTATTTGTGCATAATTCCCGCATTCATTTAAATTCCTGTATTTTATTCTTAATCTTTTTTGGTATAGGTGTATATCATAGATATAATAAAAGTAGTTCTACATTATTTATTTGTATGTAAAATAGCATTAACCTTGATTTTTTTAAGGTTATTGTTATTTTAAATATGACAATGTATCGGTGCTTTACGTCTTCAAAAAGTGATTATGTTTTTTCACACAATTTCAGTAAAATGTTGGTTAACCTCAATGCATATTACGTATACAATAGCAAAACATATATGTAAATTAATTAATTAACATCATATTTATTAAGAATGATCATATTCTTTGTAAGGAATAATAACAGGAATGAGTGTTTGACTTTTATTAAAACATTGTCAGGAATCAGAAGATTTAATATATGTACATTTGTAAGGAGGTGGATTTAAAAAGATAATTCAATATTATACTACTATAAAATCACAAAAGATTTAAACAAGGTATTTTAACTAAAATACCTCCAATAAAATGTTAGTCTCTTATAAATCGGCACTATATACCAAGCCTTAGAAAATTGATCACATTACTTGCCTTCGTTACATCAAAGCAAACACAATTAGACGCTTTAATTACTTTAACACTTCTAGAACTGAATTAATTCATTTGATCACTGACCTTGTTGTAAAGATTATTCATGAAATCCAAAACACTATCTGAATTTGGGAACACTCCAGATATACCACTGATGACAACTTCATCGCCAGATAATGATGCTGGAACATCTTTAATAGTTTGATCTCCAACACCTTCAGCTGGAGCCATTTTTTCTGTTGATCACTTTTGTACTAACTCTATGAGTTTTGGCGGAAAACGAAATAATATATTCCTTTTGATTGGCTTTTTATATGCAAGGTCTTCAGTGATTTACATATTTAGGGATCAGTTATCGAATGAGTTGCTTGTATACAGGTAATGTGTAAATAAACTATGTAATATAGTATTTTTATTAACACGTTTGTTTTGAAATAAGTTAATGACATTTTGTTTTTTAATTTTCAAACTCAGCATTATCAATTTGTGATCTCTTATTGAAAACTCTAATACTCGTGGTTTATTGCTAAGTTTCATCATAGAATTGTAAAAATAATATCTTAAATAGTTGTGATGGTTTCAATAGAAAAATGTACTGATAGTTATAATTCATAAATCAATCTCAGAATACAGACAGAAAATGAAAAAATATTTTTATTACTTTCGCTTTAAAATCCGCATGCTAAGTGTATAAGACATTGAACTTTTTGAACCTGATCGTCGCAGTGTTGCTGCCTCTACGCATAACTAAAGGGTTTCTTTATTTTTCGAAAATACGCATAGAAATGTAAACATACTCACATCACATTCACTGTTTCTTAAATACTATCGGTGGGTTATAATGGCAACAACCCCGCTAATTTCAATCAATTGATATAGATTACTGTGTCACACTAGTCTGTTTAAAATCCTAAAACTAAAAGAATTGTTCTTATGCATTGACATAACGAAATAATAACGAAGTGAAAATTTTGTTACAAACATTATAATTAAATGGAATGGTCAGTTAAATGTCAAATTTGTAATAGACTCAGAATGAGTCATAACTAAAGTTTTTGGTAACTCTAATTTGTACATAATTAACCTTTCTCTGGGTCGTAGTAATGTTGGTTTGGTATATGATAATCAGATTCTGTAAAGATACTTTTATGATATTGGCAAAAAATATAAAAGTAGTACAGGATGCTTGGAAGGTCCAATCCTTCTCTCTTCTTCCTGTCATCACTTTCCAAATCTTTTTCAAATTCTTATAAAATCAAATGAAATTTTAAAAATATTATATTTTTCAGGCAATTTTAAACCCAGCTTAATACATAATTATAACTTATAAATATGAAATTCTAAAAAACAAGCAACAATGTAAGTATTTATAATAAAAAAAAAATTTCTATCTTGATATTCGCGGTGCGGTTTCGAAAGCTAACAAGTACGAATGTCACTTTTAACGATAATTTCATTGTAATGTAGGTACTCAAAAATGCTAAAACACAACTGACATACGGTGAACCTTTATTACCTTATTCTTATCCGTCTGGGGCAAGGGAAATGATGAATGTTATTCTTTCAAATTAAAATTATAATCAATTAGATATCGCTTATCTGCCTTGGAGCAAAAATTATGAGTGCTCAATACTGCTCGGTGTCAAAAAAGCCTTTGCTTAGAACTGCAGTAGTTTGGCTGGTGATCTTATTATTTTGATACAAGTTTTTCTTGCATAGCAATTGATTAAATTTACATGCGGAACACAATAGTTTAATAGTCTAACACCCGGTTTCCGAAAGGCCGATCAATGTAAAAATCAATTTAATCTCTTGATCATCTAATTAAAATAATTAAATGATCAAGAGATAAGATAAGAGAAGAGAAGAGAAAGATATTAATTAAAATAATATTTAAAGAGAAAAAAAAATTGATTGACTGAATTATCAACAACCAATCAGATGGCTTGACAAGAGATTTGACACCTAGTTAGTTGATTTTAACATTGATTGGGCTTTCGGAAACCGGGCATTAAAGTATCTATGTAGATAATTTTGGTAAAATTTTATACGTTCGTGTTGATACCAATATGTAACAACAAGAATGACTTCATTTATTACTACTGATCAGTTTTAAATTGGTGTGGATAATCGTTAAAGAAACAATTCATTACCCGGTCAACGCATGTTGCATTGTGCATATATTTAAAAAACAATAATAAATTAACTATCGACCTTTACAAATCGATAAACAGTCTTTTTAAAGTCATTCAACTGGTTACAAAGTAGAAACCGTGTTTCAATATTATCGCAAAAGATAATGACAGTTCACAAAATATTGGACATTTATAAAATTAAATGGAATTCAAATTGAAGGCCAATTAATATTGAAATTTCGTTTAATATTAATAAAGTAGGCATAATCCTGGAGTAATACAATAATGTGTGGTTATTCTGGTGAAGGATTACATATCAATAAAACGAATTGAATATTTTTGTTTACATTCATCGAAATCTTGTTAATTTTATTTTTTACGTTTATGGCAGACTTAACGCAGTCTGCACGCCCATTGACATCCGCAACACCAAAAGAGTTACAGCTGCGTTAGTGGGGGATGGAGGAGGAGTGGACCTCTTTCTTTTATATTTTTTTTTATTAGTCTGTAATGCCCCACTGCTGGGCAAAGGCCTCCCCATCTCGCTTCCACAGCTCCGGATCTTTCGACTGTGTCTACCAGTCTCGACGATAGGCATCTAGATTGTCACGCAATCCTTTTCGGGGCCTATCCCACCTGCGGCCTCCATCCTGGGTATATGGAATAGAGGTACTTATTTCCAGCAGTATGATCACCTGATAGTAAACAAGCAAACCGTTTATCACCCGTATCACTGGCGAAATCACAAGTTTTCGCTGGCCTTGACTTATGCACACTATTGTAAAAACCATACTTTTCATATAATAAGGTAGATACTAATGGTTTTAAATTGATCTGAATTATATTTTATATAGGTATATTTCTCAAACATTTTATTGTGAAAAACATCTATTTTTATTGTCTTTTTAACGTTGACTTTTCCATCCACTTCCTGACTTGAGATTTTAGAACTAGTTACCAATTCAGCGACCAGGCAGGCTTAGTCTTAAGAAGGGTTGGTCCGTCCGGCTGTAACTTAGCCAAGAGCTCTTAAGAAAGAATATTATTTATGCATTGTAATACCTAGCTATCTTTGAAACATTTTAAGCGTCTTACTAACAAAATGTAACCACAAATACGTACCTAATTAGGTAGATGCTTTTAGTATTACAACCGAATTACCATATTGTTACATTGAAATGACTTAATGTACCTATAATATACATTTTGTGGAATTGTATACATGGGTTCTGTGCCGATTCTATTGTGTGATTATTTATTTTATTTTTTGATAGATCGAATTGTAGGTCTTGTTAATAGGATGTTTTATATGTATAATACTTGGCACAAGTAAAGGTTTAATCTTATTTCATTATCTTTATTTAACATATAAATTACATCGTTAAATAATCCTAAAAATAAAAAAGTAATAAAAAACATTTAAAAATATAAAAAAATTGTGTCCCACCGGTATCGGGAGCAGGGTCCTAGCGACCGGCGGTCAGGGCTCCAGAGAAAGGAACCTCCTGATAATACGAGCTGTGTCCAGGAGTACCACTTTCTGAATCAAGCCCTTGATCCAGCCACCTAACGAGATCCTCCTAAGGTGTTCATTGAGGTTCTTAGCTTTTAATTAAGCCATTGGCTGATAGTCTATCGGTACAATGATAGCGGAATCCACTTCCAACATGTCGACAACCTCGCGTGCTAAGTCGATATACTTGATAAGTTTATCTTTCTCATCTTTCACGAGGTTCTCGTCATGTAGGACGGCTATGTCAACAATCATTGCACGCCTCTCGTTTTGATCCACCACCACTATAATTATCAGGCTTATTGGCCACAATAGTCCTGTCAGTGATGATATATAGACGATCCCAGTAGGTACAAGGTGACATGACTATTATCAAGAAGGCCCATACCTGTAGTACGGCGCTTCCGATTCCACAAGAGAGTACTTCAGAGTAAGCTGCTGATGGATGATTCTAGCTACAAGGTTGTGCCTATGCAAGTACTCGCCGTTAGCTAGACGAGAACAACCAGAGATTATGTGACGAATTGATTCTCCCGGACGGTGACCGTGCCGTCCTTAATATACATATATATACTTTCTTGTCTGGAGGATCACGCTTCTCGTGGATAAAGGTGCGGATTACCACTTAGTGTATTTAAACACCACTGACAAACAGGAAGGAAAACATCGATAAGAAACATGGACTAAATAATTATAAGTTTGAAATCACTAAACCGCCCTGAGAAAGCGTGGTGATTAATAATCAAACGTTCTTCGTGGGACAAGATACCTTTGCTCAGCAGTGGGCACTTATTGGCTGATGATGATGAAAATGAATGAATGATGAAGACTTTTTTTTCAAACATACGGTCACACCAAGCAATGAAATCATTTCCTAAAGGAAATAGCCACTAAGTTCCCTACGTAAAAAAAATCAATAACATATTACCCGGAAATTAACTCAAGAACTCAGCTGTCGCAACGATTCTAATGTCGTATTGTAATGTCATCACTGTGTCAATGTCGAATGCTTATATTAACTTTCAGGTCGTACTTACATACACACATTTCAGCAAATTTCAGCTCTATTAAATTGAGGGTAGATTTGAAATTTCTTTGAAGACACAAGTTGGAGTAGGTTGATTTGACTCATACCTGTGACATACGATTAATTTGATTCCATTCAATTGTTTTATAACCTTGATTTTACATTTGAATATGTTGCAATAACCTTACTTTGTTTATTCTTTTGAAGTATTATTTGATTGTGTATTACACTAGTTCATCTTGCAGTTAACATTAAGATAATTCTTCTTTTAAATATTAACTTAAAAATGACATTAAGAATGTCGGTTGGAAGATTTACATTAATTGAACAAAGAAGACATGATTTAGCTCAACGTAATTTAAGGCCTATTTATAGGTAAATTAGATTTTTGTTTACTGGACGTATGCAGTATTAATTTTATCAAATGACTTATTTACAAACAAAGTATGAGTATCTTAAATAGGGATACGTTTGCAAGTGCAATCATGTGTGCCCTGGTTAGAGGTAGGTGAAGGAACGGGGTGGATACTAGACAGTAAGAGAGACACGGCCTTCT